GAAGATCGTTCGCAGTTGAATCATGTTCAGATTCATCTGTCGACTCTTGGTCTATCAAATGCTAAAATGATGTGGAAGCACTTACTTTCATCCTTCACATTTAAATCAAGTGGTTCATCTTGCGGTTCTGACTCAACGTTTACATCTTCCTTATCCTTTGGAATCTGGGGGAACACTTTAAATACTATTGAGATAATTTAAATTTGTTACATAGATCTGGATTAAGAAGATCACGTAGGAATTTTTCGACAGCTTCCGGATCATCAAATTGCTCTATATGGCTTTTTATTTCCTTTTTGTCTTGAGTTATTGATACACGAGCATCACCTAAAGTAAGTTGGAAATAGATCTTATTATATTTCTTAAAACAGAAGAATACTAGATTTTTGGGACGTTGTTTGAATTAGTATAACATTGAGAATGTATACGCACGACGAAGAGTATAATATGTCGGTAATTTAAAGTATGTAAAGGGACAGTATATCAAGTGAAATGAGTGAGAACTAATCAAATATCTACATAAACAGCCGGTAATTGAGTGGAAAATATCTTGTTGCAACTGGGTTACAAAGCAACAAGATCAGGCAATAGATAACACGATTTTGCACTACTTTCTATTTTATCTGTACTGCTATTTCAAGTTTTGTTTTAACAAATTTCACTACCATTTACGAAACATCTGGCCTTTTAATTTGGATGGGAAATACAGCGGTCGATTTTGGGAATGTGAATGTTAACTACTCTACCGATCTTCGGGTTCTTAGTTACAAAACAAAAAGAATTCTATGAAATTTGATAACTATTGACCCAGCTTGTGGGTTTGGTAAGTAGCATTTCATAGAATAACTGCACAGAGGGATCAGTTAAAGCTAAAATGGAGCCTACAACTTATAAAAATTGATAACTAGTCATAGGTTCTCAGACTGGATGTGATCTTTCTAAATAAAAAGAGCCGGGGAATATATCACATAAGATCCAGATTTGTGTAGTAAGGACAGAAGACCTACGGCCTATGTTAATCCTTTTCCAGTGTGCTTCAGCGAATGTCTAGTCTATACTTGAATGTGCGGACACCACTGATTCGGGCAACGGGTTCCAATAATTGATGAGTCAGTGTGAAAACCTGCATGCCACGGGTGTTTTATTCGTTTTAGGTTTTTCTACTCGCCTGCTATGTCCTCTGAGATGTCCCGAACTAGTGGTTAGAAAAAGAGAGGATATATTAGGTCCCGAGTAATGAACTACAAACATCGATGAACTTCGACTATTACAAGGATACTATGCAACACGAATTAGGTCGAGGTGCATTAGGCTCAAAAACATTAGGTGGGTACATGCACTTCAAGCATTATACTCTTACTTAGAAGTCAGAATTAGCGAAACCTCAAATGTGTCAAGTAGTATACAAAACACCACTATTTGGAGCGATTAAAGAAAATATTTGTTCTTAGTATGTAACGAAAGCAATTAAGAATGAATGTATCTGACAAATCCATATGAACAGAAGGTTTCAACTATGCATTGCATGAATACACTTACCACTTTTTCTCTTCGGCTTCAAGTCTTCTGATAAAACAACAGTGAAGTATGCTATAAGAAAGACCACAATTGTGAGCAATAAGCGTGGCGAACCACAAGGATGGTTTGAAAAACCGAAGTGAAACATATCGCGTAATAACCAGAAAACGCGCCAAATATTGAAACGCGTGGGTTTTCTATTCGCTGAATAGCTTAAGGTCATCCAATAAACTGAGATCAAAACACAGGTCGTATGGTGTTTTTTTAAGTCTTCTACTGTCCTAATAACGTCCCTATCTGTGTCTGAATTCCATTTTAAATTATGCAAAATATTCAAAACCCTATAGATTTTTTTAAAGTAATCGGTTATTCGCCAGTAGTAGTTCAATAACATGTATGGACGTACTGACCTTTCTATGAACAAATCTCGATGTCCTGTGGCGATTTATACTTGATGTGCTCATCTATCTAATGCTTCAAAATTGATAAGAATGAGACAAGTTTCCACTTGTAATGGAGAGTGAACTCCCGAATAAATATTTCTGTAAGTCTTCGACATTGAAGGCGACTATATTGATTTTATTGAACCCGCTTCTAACTAAAGGCGATCTATCAATCATCTGCCCCAAATCGCTTTCCGGTACGCGATACAGAGCAAATAGTTAGACTAGATCATATACTTCTCGGCCAATCAAACCCGTATATTCATAATCTGGAAGAGATTTTAGAGGTTGCTACTTACTTGCATTTTGTTAGAATAACCCTGGTTTGACTTCCTTAATGGAGGATGAGTTAAACCTTATATGTTCAGTTAACCGTAGCTTATGAAGCGAGCACCAAGTTATGAAAGTGGACCGGTTTGATAGCTGTTTGTTATTTTCACAGGGTTTTTGGACATTTTTACTTTATGGAAACCATAAACCCATCCAAGTCAAAATATCATCGAAACTAAGAAGCAAAAGACAGTCGCTTCGTCCTGGCACGATGCTTCTCAGAAGCGGAATCGACCCACGACATGTCGAGCTTCGAACCGTAACCCGCCTGAAGAAATGAAATATTCATGCGCAATGTCGCAGATGGATTGGGGCTAGGCGTCATTACTGTTGGATCACAGAACAGCGGTCAAAATACTGAGCGTTTGCACACGAGACCGGTGTTGATGAGTTCTAGTCCGTCGTGTGACATTGTGAAACCCCACTGCCACGGAGCCCCATACTAGGACGAAATCCCTATCCAGTGCTTCCAGGTTTTCAGTGGTGGTCTTGTAGTAGTGCCAGTTCCCAACCATATGATCCTTGAAGTCGAATCCGCCATAACAGATATTTACATTAAATATTTAACACTTAGAGGCCAGAAATAGTGGAAGCGGAAAGATCTTATATATATGGCATTTATATTGCAACGATATCTACATCATCCAGCTCGCAGAACGAAATCCCACAGCAGTCAAAACGTTTCTACAATTACGATTAGTTACAAATTAACGTTACATCCAACAGTAGCCTCGAACTCAACGGGCTGACAATAGAAAAACTCATTTTCACGAAGCATAATAAAAATGTATCTAGATAATTACGGGCTGTCCTCCTTCAACTTGGTCAACGGATGGGCAAGTGGAAATGACCAACATCAAAGGTAATAATTTCTTTATTATCTATATTACTCGTCAGTTCACGTTCCAATACTTCCTAATTTTGCACCACTACTATAGGACACATTAAGCAGCTAGAAGCATAGTTCTCTTTTATTAATTGAACTATGTTTGTGATCAGTAAAACAGTTATTCGATCATCGGACAACAGCCAGTCCAGGCAAATCCTGTAAAATACTCTCTCATATACCCTCGAAATAACTTGCGAAACAATGTACTACTGTACGAACAACTGGAATAAAGTTTAAAAACCTATGACTGAGGGAATTCAAACAATGTACAAAAATTCAACAACAAACTTCAGAAGATAGAGTGACCTGTAATGGCATTGGGCTCTAACCACACAATCTTCAAAGCTGAACACGAAAAAAACTGAGGAATTATATACTCAACATTTAACGCGGGGAAAACCCAACAATGGGGAGGTGGGAAGAATAAATTCGATCAATTAATTTCCTGGAATGGTATGGCTGTGCTTTTCATGTGTGATCATTCTTGTGTAACTTTTACTCATATCTTCAGCCTAAATGTTTTCGTCATCATATATTGTTGATTGTTACGATACGAAGAGTTGGTGTAAATAATGATGTGACTTCCACGTAAGATCTTATAGATTAGGCAGTTACATTATAACAAATCTACGATATTCGGATTAGATTTATTATTGGAACAGTACTAGTAACGAAGTAGACCATAGCTCTACAGACACATATCAATCTACAACATTTTATGTGGTATAAAACATTCCAAATTCGCATACTGTTCGAGCATCAACTAGGAGAATCCTGAAGTAATCCCTGCAATACACAATGTAATGTTATTCTCCAGACCGGATGAAAAACAAAATTTCATCAGAGATAATGACTTTAAGTGAAAGGTCTAAAAGACTATCTGTTACACTATTTTTACACATCTAATTGGCAAACAAGACTGTTTAACCCTTCTCATTCGGAATGTATCAAAACATGCGTCGCAAATTCAGTTTGTTAACATAATAATAATTCCCCCGAGAATCGTCTATAAATTTTGGCGTAAAGTCGATTGCGGAACAAATATATCAATGCAAAAATGATGGTGGAGTTTTTCTGTATATAAATTCAATAACAACGTACGTAATAGGAAATGCTTGCAATCTGGGACTACAAATTATCAAGTGTCTATGTAGGCGTTGTTTACTCAGTTCTTAAATTCCAATATCATCCAAAGTGATATTCGGAGTTCATCAAGAGGAAATCTGACATTTTTGATAGTGAGAATGGCACCTCGAATCGACTCACCAAACATCCTTTTATATGTCCATATTTCATATAGATTTGTCACTTCAAAGTGGCTCCGGTGGACCATTGCTACTAGGTGTTAACATGTCTTATCTTTTTGCACCATCCAGCAACAACAATCTCCGAGGACATAGCAAGAAGTTTCATAAACCGCGATCTAATAAACGTAAAGTGGCATTCCTTTTTTCATCGAGTAGTCAATGACTGGAACGCCTTACCCGAACTAATGGTATCAACCCCATCAGTGAATATTTTCAAGGAGAATCTGAACCTTCACTGGAAAGTAATCTGTCAGAATTAACACAAATTCATCAACGTACTATCCTCATTACTGAATAGTGAAGATACAAAAATTCGTTAAACGAAAGATTCTCTTATCTATTTCATAAACACTTTTAAGTACTTGAATATATCAAGGTCTAAAAAATATAGTGGTTGGTTAAACTTTATGAAGAATCTAAAACCATCACTTGGTGTCAAAATGAAGGACACAAGCAAATTAATTGGTAAATATTTTAGATATTGAATGTTTTTAATGAATGAAGTGGGAATTTCAACACGTCTAGGTCATTCGCAGCAACGAGCAGTCTGCTGGTTAGTGAAATGACTTCTAATTCTATTCAGGTTCGTATCATCCTTCCGAAATTAGTGTTTGTTTTGTAGAGAAAAGAAGTTAGGTGCCTACAAGACGAATATGATAAACTTCTCCAGTCCTCCAATTTTTCTGGAATTAAAAAACTATTGGAAGGAGGTGAAAAGCTACGGTATCAAGCAAACCATTTAGAAAAGGTAATAAAGTAAAATGTTCACTGTATTAGTATTTGAAACAATTGGACAACCATGTGCGGTGTAATTCCATAAGTATCCAAGCTGCCGTGGCTGCTTTGTTTGATTACGCTATAAAAACAGTGTTCATAAATACTAAACACTGTGTACAACTCAATGTTCCCACTAAACGTAGTTTTGGGGATTATCAGTGCAACTCTGCTCTTAGCATTCGAAAAGTATGTACTGATTAATATCTCTATTGCTCAGGAGTCAAACACTGGTCAAAATCCATTTGATATTGCAAAATCGATCGTTGCTGCTTTACCTGCTAATGATTTAATCGAAAGAGTGGACATTGTTCTTCCTGGCTTTATAAACATTTGGATTAAACAACAATTCATTTCTACTGAAGTCAGAAAGATTTTACTTTATGGGGTTACACCCCCATTCATACCTCATAAATACTCTGTGATTGTCGATATGTCCTCTCCAAACATCGCCAAAGAAATGCATGTGGGACATTTAAGGTAAGAATCGTAATAAAGTATAAACTGTTTCGCCTATTTCGGGCCTTGTGTTCCCACCTTGTCAATTATTAGGCCTAAAGAAAATCATAGAAAGTTTACGTTTGTATATCCATGGTTATGGACTGTCAAAAAGTTATTTATTAAATTATTAAATTAGTCAGTAGATTTTGATTATCTATAGTTTACCATGAATAAGGTTAGACAATCAAACTAAAGTTCAGTAAGTTGCTTACAGAATGTAAGTGCACTAGATTACATCTACCATCATTTAGTGACTTACTAAACCATTAACTCTATTTCATAGTCGTCTGTTATTCTCCAAGTGGACTGTCTTATATGAGTATTTATTTGTAATTACATCAAATGAACTCTGCAAGCGAATTGAGGACTATCGAAGTCACTCTGAAATGGCTAATAAAGATAAGAAATCCTGTCTCTAACTTTATCAAGCAAATAATACCACACCATATTTACTTAATACACAAAATACTGGTACAATTGGTCATCAAATTAAATATGCGCCACACAAGTAAGGGATAGAATAATGGACAACAAATAAGAATAAAAACAAATTTACAGTAGTGGTATATAGTGAGAGAAACAGTTCAGTTAAAAACAACCAGAAAAAATTCAGTCAAGGGGGTTCTGTTCATTTCTGTATGAAGAATTTAAAAGGAAAATACTACAAGATCGTTATTGACTTCTGATTTGAGCCATATACGATAATGTCTCAGGCCATTGAATTACATCACCTCTTGGACTACAACCGTTGAGTCGTGATGGGCCGAAATATGTCAGTCCTATACAACTTCCTTCCATACCAATGCGCCATATCATAAACTGACTATCCCCCTCTTCCATCCTTTCCCAGCGCCAGCGAATAATGCAAGATGTAGAAGTCTTCAGGATGATGTCGTAAAACATTCTCGAGCTACCGAAGCTGGTGTTTCAAGTTGGTGACACATTTAGTGTCACCAAGTTATCGTCAGTGCTCTCGAATACGCATTTAAAAACATCAGCATTATCGGCATGATGTTGCCACTGGATGTCAGCAGCCCTTCGAAAACGGTGATCGAATACGAAAAGTCGTGAAACATCCTTTACTCGGAAAGACAAAGTTGTTCAAGCGCAAAACAGAATTGCCTTCACCAGCGCGTTGTAGCCACAAAATTTTACAACCAGATTACCATCCAAACGTCGCCAGATATGCTCTGAATTAACATGAATCACTCCGGTTCTCACACACACACCTACCCAGGCACGCGAAATTTACGATTACGGATGTCTCACCACGACCACCGAGGACCGGCATAGGCTATTTCCAGTCGGATCAAAGTCGACCCTGATATCAAGAAACACGACTGTTGGTCTGGAATTAATGTGGCGGTTCTCTAACATCCGGTGAAGGGTGAAAATATTAATACATCCGAAAATTGACCAAAAAGCAGCTTGCATCGTACGGGCCAATCCTACACTGGAGCCAACAGTTTGGAAGCGACCGAAAGTAGACTTATCCCCTCATAATATGTATGGATGAATTAGGTGTTTTTAATTATGTGGACGCCAATCGCTTCCTTCGTGGGTGTTGGAACATCCGATTTCCCGGACTTTTCCAATTAACCCTGTCAGTTACCTCACTAAATTTTCACCATCCTTAAAATTAGCTGAGAGTGTAGGTCTTCTGTGCCTATTGGCCTGTGGGTCTTCAGGAGTTGGAGTGTCGTTATATAAGAAAGAAATTTGAAACAAGCTTCCTTTCAGTAAACATATATTGAACTTTTTACTGCTCACATATTACCAGATAATTCCCATTTAAACATTAAAAATTAAAAACATGAAGTTCAGCGAAGGGATCTCTTTTCAACAAATATATTATCGAGCTGTACAATCGTATATATATGAAATTTTTTTGTTAAAGTACTAATTCCGTGAGGAAATGTGAACACGAACAACCAAGATGATGCAGTAGAAATATTATAATGATGGAATACGTAATACAAATAATAACAATAGATTTAGTGAATAGAATAAGATGAATAAAATGTTTTTGAGGTGTAAATAAATAAGGTGATATGATGAGCATTTATGAATGAAATAATGAGAATATAAGAGATAAGTAAGGGGGAATGCAGTAATAATAATATTATCCGACACTTTTACTTGCTGTTATTTTTCTGTTACAGATCAACTATTATTGGAGAAAGTATTTCCCGTTTGCTTTCATTTTTGGGACACAAAGTACTAAAACTCAATCATCTTGGGGATTGGGGAACACAGTTTGGGATGTTAATAACCCACTTAAAAGAGATATATCCTGATCATAAAACTGCACCTCCTATATCAGACCTCCAAGCTTTTTATAAAACTTCCAAAACTAGATTTGATGAGGAAAAAGATTTTAATCAAAGAGCTCATATGGCCGTTGTTAAACTTCAACAAAACGATCCTGAGTATGTACGTGCTTGGAAACAAATTTGTGACATATCACGAAAAGGTATGTAGTGGAAACATATTCATAGTACTTATTTATTTTATTTATTTGAACACATAGACATTCTTACAAGGGGGCACCGAATACATATGCGCCACACAAACCACTTGGTTTGTGTATGGGCTATGATACTGGCCTGGTGCTCAGACCGACTCAGGTGGTTTTCTTCAGGGCCACACGCGGAGCCTTCAACCTAAAGGTCTGATCCACAAGACAGTGAAGCAACGTAAGGAGATGCAGCCCCGTGGTAGTCAGTGACCAATTATTGATTCATATGCCATTTTTTCCCTCAAAATCCTGCAGCCCATGTACACCATTGGTTTGAAATCAGGGTTTTCCAAATCCCCTATGTGGACTCTCTGTGTCCACCAACCGGTTAAAGCGTTGGACATTCGCTTTTCGTCCTCTCATTTTCGCAAACAACACCCCCGTCACGAGAAGGCAGTGAGTAGGACTTCCCTGGCAGAGGCTATATACGTGTGGCCATGTGAGAACATTTCGAGACGGTAAGCGGACTCTTCCCACTCTTAGCTGTACCAGGGCATTTGGGGATCAGTCAGTCAGTCAGTAACAACGTGGAACTTCGTACGTACGTACATCAGTTCGAGATGCCACACCACATTAGCACAGACATTCAGTTATCGATTCTAATCCCGTAGTGGTAGAGGTAGTGAAAGTATAATTAGTAATCGGGAACATAAGGGTTTGACGATGTTATTCAAGGAGTATAATACAGTGGAATAAATTTGGAAAGAAAATAAAGAACATGAAGAATTCAGAAGAATAGAGTTTGGGAGAACAAAAAGAGTGGATTCACCTGAGCCATTGCAAACGATTTTGAGCCATGTCATTCAAGATCTCTAACCATTGGTTGTTATCGTCTCGCGGACCCCAACCAGGTGGTCTACACTTACCAACATGGCTCAGTCCACTTGTCAGTGACTTCATGAATTTGTGCCATGTTTTGGTCTGGCCGCCCCTAGCTTTCTTCCAACCTATTCCTACACCATAAAACATCGCACGTCGTAGCAGTCGGTGGTCGGGCATGCGCAACACATGTCCCAGCCATCTCAACTGATTGAGTTTCACTACTTCATCAATTGATTTGCCATCCTTGACTAGTACCCGTTTCCTAGCAACTGCATTACTTACTCGGTGGTCCCAGGATATACGAGCAATGCTTCGAAGACACCTATGATCAAATACTAGTAACCTACGAATATCCTCTACTCTTACCGGTCATGTTTCACTGCCATTAAGTAGGACGGAACGGACTGCTGCGAAGTAAACCCGTCCTTTTGTTGGTAAACGGATGTCTCGCCTACACTATGAATGACGCAAGTTGGCAAAAGTTGGTCAAGCCTTCTATATCCATGCTGAGATTTCGTCACACACCAAACCACAAGGGCTGATGAGACTTCCAAGATAAGTGAAGCGGTCGACACGCTCAACAACTTCACTCCCTATCACTAGTTCGGGTGCCGATGCAACTCAATCCTGAATCAACATTTTGCATTTCGAGGGAGAGAATCGCATCCCGAACATGCCTGCATTGTTGCTTAGAGTGGTCAGCAGACTCTGCATTTTGTCAGCGTCTTCACCAAATAGAACTATGTCATCGGCATATTCTAAGTCAACAAGTGAATCTCCCTCTAAATATTCAACTCCTGGAAATTTAGATGAGGAGTGTTATTTCTAAAAGCACGTCAACGGCAAAGTTAAACAAGAATGGAGAGAGTGGACAGCCCTGACCAACAACACTTGAGGTAATCAGTTCTGATGACAGTTCGCCATAAGCTCTCACTCGACCAGTTGTGTTCGAGTAGAGGGCCTTTATAAGGTTAATGTACTTCTTCGGTACTCCTTTCAGTGACAAACACTGCCGTAGAACCTCACGATCAACAGAGTCAAATGCCGCCTTAAGGTCGAGAAATACTATCATTGTGGGGCGTCTGAATGTGTGTCTATGTTCTAGAACCTGACGTAGTGTGAATATTTGATCTATACAACCACGTCCAGGTCGAAAACCAGCCTGGTTTTCTCTAGTCTGCTCTTCACGAGCTTTGGTTAGACGTCGAAGTATTATTGAAGCTAATATTTTAGACACTATATTAGTCAAACTAATTCCTTTGTGATTGTCACAAGAGGACTTTTGTCCCTTCTTATAGACTGGCACAATCAGTGATTGAGACCAGTCAGATGAGATTACGTCCAGTTCCCAGATTCTACCTAAGACCTCAGTCAATCTCGCTGCTAATACTGGACCGCCATCCTTAAAAATCTCAGGGGTAAACCTGTCAGGGCCTGCTGCTCTCTCACGCTTGAGATTACCTATAGCTTTTTCAACTTCGTAAAGAGGACTTACATGAACTTGCCATTCAGGTCGACTGGAGATCGTGGGAAACCGAAGTGTGGCTGAAGGCCAGTTGAACTGATCCCTAAAGTGTTCTGCCCATCGATCTAATCTCCTGGATTGAGAATGAATAATATGTCCATCTTTCTCTGCGATTGTTTCGCTAACAGTTGGGTTCCTAATACCGGTTTCCTTAACAAGTCTGAACAGTTGCCTGCTGTTACCTATTGCCGCTGCCTTTTCCATCTCTCTTGCTTTCGCTACCCACCACTGTTCACGATCAATGCGTAGGCTTCTAGTCAGCTTACGCTTAAGCTGACTCCGCTCTTCGTTATGTTCAGAGCCAGATGGAATGAGTTTTCGAGCATCTATCAGTGCGGTAGATGCTGCTGAGACCCAGTGTTTCTCCTTAACCTTATGGTTTACCGTACTTGCAGACATCACTGCTGTTTCTACAGCTTTTCGGATGTCATTCCACGCTGCCTCGGGGTGAGCATCACTTACATGGCTGCCTAACTGTTTTTCTAGATGTTCCTGAAATATACTCTTAGCTTGACTATCATTAAGTAGGACCCTAAGGGGTTTCCATGCTTCATGTTTCCTACGTCCAGCAAGACGTAGACAAATACGCGCTCGCACTAGAGCATGATCTGAGTCTAAGCATGTGCTCCAGAATGAGCGACAGTCTTCTATCGAGCCCCTCCATCGGTGGCTGTTAGCGATGTGATCTATTTGAGTCCAGCGTTGAGACGAATTATGGGGTCGCCATGTTAAAAGATGTTTTTCCTTATGCTTAAAGTTAGTGTTTGCGATAAACAGGCGGTTATCTGAGCATAGCTGCAACAGACGGTCGCCGTTATCTGTTCTTTTAGCCGCGACACCGTAAGAGCCACCCAGGTGTCTTTCCTTTTCGCTTAGTTTACCTACTTGAGCATTAAAGTCACCAGCCACTATTACTACATCTGAACGCCTAGCTTTTCGGAGAAGGTCGGAAAGCTTTCTGTAAAACTCATCTTTTACATCATCTGAGCTGCAGTCAGTGGGAGAGTAGGCAGAGACGACGAAGAGGCAACGACGAGTGTCCCTATCTTTTCGAGTCCTTACTGTTCCGTTTAGTCGGACAGCACACAAACGACTGTCTACTGGGATCCAGTCTAAGAGAGCTAGTTCTGCCCTAGGACAATGCTATGCCTACGCCAGCGAGGCCACAGGAAGCAGCATCAGGGCTTCCAGATACACGAAGCGTAAATCGAGTTGGTTCGATACTTTGACATGGTGCGGTCAAATGAATGACACTACTAGGATCCTGTGTGCGCGTTTCGGAGACGCAGCACACATCGATGGGGCGAGATTCTAAAGTTTTAGCTAAGGAAGCCTGTTGTCCTATTTGGCACAGTGTTCGGACGTTGAAAGCTCCTACGTGTAGTTTAGAGCGTGGTTTCAGGAGACCAGGAATAACGTTCCGCGTACTCGAATCGTTTGCACTAGTGGGGCGAGGTGATAAAGGGACGTGAGAAGGGTTGGTCGTGGAGATAAGAGAGTTATTAAGAGGTGTAGGAAGTATTTGAATGTGACCAACTTGGTCTCGTGTGCTGTTATGGGTATGAGGGCTATCACTTCCCGGTTGCCCACACCGTGGAAGGGTATTTCTTGAGGAACCTGAAAAGGAAATCGGATTAGTGTTGGTCTTAACGACCTGAGTGCGTGACCGCAGAGCCCAAGAGACAACTGCTTGAGGCCGGTCGCGCACGGCCTTTTTGTGGGAGGTTTTTAATGTGTTAGCTCCGTTCTTCAAAGGGCCTTACCGCCGGAGACGGAAATCCGTGGGGTGAGGTGAGGTGTGACATTTTTAGGGTCAACCTTTTCTAACCCCTTCTTTCCTTGTGAGAAGGCACCGTCGCTGCAGATGCTGGTTGTCCGAGGGAAACACCTTACTGCTGTCACACCTCTGTACAGTCAGCAGTACGACTTCGCCCTCAGACCTTGAGTTGCTGCTTTTAGTCTTACCGTTCTCCAATCGACCTGCCTGGCATGGTAGAACCTGCAGGAGCATGTGTTCCAGCCAATATAGCTCGGTTGGGTCATCACGATAGGCAAGCCCGACCACCACGTCAAGGTAGCAGCTACGGTCGGTTACTATTCATAGTACAGGCATAATCCGATATATTGTTGTCACAGTGTAATCACTAGATTCCTCGTAATTATCAAGTTTATTCCTTTACCAGGTTTCGAAAATTTACTAATATCAGATAAGAAATCCCTTTTTCATACATACTTTTTCCGGTCTCGGGGTACTATACGTGCAGAACTACTTATATAAAATGAAGAATTCAGTACTTGACATCAGTAAATTTTCTAAGCTTGATAAAGAAAGGAATGAAACCGATATAATCTGAAAATGACCTACGGATATATTAAGGGGAACGGGAAACAGTTCTTTAATCACATCCAAAAAGCTCGACAAATTAATACTTTCAGATCCTATACTACCTAGACTATATGATATATCCAAGGTACATAAAGCTGGATTACCTCTTCACCCCACTGTAGGCATAGTTGGATCACAGTACCACATGATTACAAAGTGGTTACTTACTTACTTACTTACGCCTGTTACTCCTCGTGAAGGAGCATAGGCCGCTCACCAGCATTCTCCATCCAACCCTGTCCTGCGCAATCCTTTCAAGCTCTTTCCAGTTCTTATTCATCTTTTTCATATCTGCTTCTATTTCCCGACGTAATGTGTTCTTTGGCCTTCCTCTTTTCCGCTTCCCTTCAGGATTCCAAGTTAGCGCTCGTCTCGTAATGCAGTTTGATGATTTCCTCAATGTATGTCCTATCCATTTCCATCGTCTTTTCCTAATTTCCTCTTCAGCTGGAAGCTGGTTGGTTCTCTCCCACAAAAGGCTGTTGCTGATGGTTTCCGGCCAATGGATGTTGAGTATCATGCGTAGACAGCTATTAATAAATACCTGTACCTTCTTGATGGTGGTTGTTGTAGTTCTCCAAGTTTCAGCTCCGTACAGTAGAACTGCCTTGACGTTCGTATTGAAGATTCTGACTTTGATATTGGTTGAAAGTTGTTTTGAGTTCCATATGTTCTTCAGTTGAAGGAATGCCGCTCTAGCTTTGCCAATCCTCGCCTTGACGTCTGCATCTGAACCTCCTTGTTTATCGACGATGCTTCCCAGGTATGTGAAGGATTCCACGTCTTCCATAGTTTCGCCATCAAGAGTGATTGGATTGCTGTTCTCCGTGTTGTGTTTGAGGACCTTGGTTTTCCCTTTGTGTATGTTGAGGCCTACTGATGCAGAGACTGCTGCTATGCTGGCTGTCTTTATCTGCATTTGTTCGTGTGTATGTGATAGGAGGGCTAGGTCGTCTGCGAAGTCCAAGTCGTCTAATTGGTTCTGAGCTATCCATCGTATGCCGTAGTTTCTCTCAGATGTCGAGGTCTTCATAATCCAGTCGACCACCAGAAGAAACAGGAAGGGAGAGAGTAGACAGCCTTGTCTTACTCCGGTCCTTACTTGGAATGCGTCTGTCAGCTGTCCTCCATGCACTACTTTGCACTGTAGTCCATCGTATGAGTTCCGGATAATGTTGACAATCTTCTCAGGAACTCCGTAGTGTCGAAGAAGTTTCCATAACGTTCTCCTATCTACACTGTCAAATGCCTTCTCATAATCAATGAAGTTGATGTAGAGTGACGAGTTCCACTCAATTGATTGTTCGACGATGATCCGTAGTGTCGCAATCTGGTCTGTGCACGACCGGTCCTTACGGAATCCAGCTTGTTGATCTCGAAGTTGAGCGTCAACTGCGTCTTTCATCCTGTTCAGTAACACTCTGTTGAAGACTTTACCCGGTATTGACAGTAGTGTAATGCCTCTGTAGTTTTCACACTTGCTCAGATCTCCTTTCTTTGGAATCTTGATGAGGTGTCCTTCTTTCCAATCCATCGGCACTTGTTCCTCCTCCCAAATCTTCTTGAATAGAAGATGAAGCATGCTTGTAGTTACTTCGATGTCTGACTTCAACGCTTCAGCTGGTATATTGTCAGGTCCTGCTGCTTTCCCGCTCTTGATTTGTCTGATGGCCATCCTGATTTCTTCCGTCGTTGGTGGATTGACATCTATAGGAAGATCTGTGTGTGCTGCGTCGATGTCCGGTGGATTCGTTGGAGCCGGCCTGTTCAGGAGTTCCTCGAAGTATTCTGCCCATCTGTTGCGCTGTTGCTGAATCTCAGTGATCGGTCTTCCTTCTTTGTCTTTGACTGGTCTCTCTGGTTTACTGTATTTCCCTGCAAGCTTCTTCGTCGTATCGTAAAGCTGTCTCATATTTCCTTCTCTTGCAGCTTTTTCCGCCGTCGTTGCTAGTTCTTCCATGTATTTGTGCTTGTCGGCTCTAATGCTCTTCTTCACTTTCTTGTTTGCTTCTATGTACTCTGCTTGTGCTTGGACTTTCTCTGCTCTTGTTCGACTGTTGTTAATTGCTGTCTTCTTGTTCTTTCTTTCTTTGATCCTGTCCAGTGTTTCTGTAGAGATCCATTCCTTGTGATGATGTTTCTTGGGGCCCAGAACCTCTTGACACGTTGAAGTTAATGTTTCTTTGATACCTTTCCAGCTATCCTCCATAGTAGTTTCTTCTTCCTTCAGTAGATCCTGTAAGGCTTGGAACCTGTTGTTGAGAGCTACCTTGAATTCATTGAGTTTGTCAGTATCTCGAAGGAAGGCTGTATTGAACCTTTGTGGTGCTGTTTGTCCAGTTGTCCAGTTCTTCTTTAGCTTCAGTTTCAATTTGGCCACAACTAGGTGATGATCTGAAGCTATGTCCGCTCCTCTCCTGGTTTTCACATCTTCCATTGTCCTTCGGAACTTTTTATTGATGCAAATGTGATCTATCTGGTTCTCTGTGGTGTGGTCCGGTGAGATCCACGTAGCTTTGTGTATACGTTTGTGTGGAAATATTGTGCCGCCTATGACCAATTTATTGAATGCACACAGATTTGCAAATCTTTCCCCGTTTTCGTTTCTCTCTCCCAGTCCATGCAGTCCCATGATGTCTTCATATCCGGTGTTGTCCATTCCGACTTTGGCGTTTAGATCTCCCATCAGAATGGTGAGGTCCTTTCTTGGGCACTTCTCTATGATTGATTGCAGCCTCTCATAGAATTGATCTTTAACGTCGTCGTTGCTATCATTGGTAGGTGCATAACATTGGATAATGTTCATTGTGATCCCCTCCTTCTTTGTTTTGAATGATGCTTTGATGATTCTGGATCCGTGAGATTCCCATCCTACAAGTGCATTTCGTGCTACTTTGGACTGCATTGGAGCAACTCCCTGAGTGTGTGGAGAATTTTCCTCTTCGTAACCGGAGTATAGCAGCATCTCTCCCGTATTTAGCCTTTGTTGTCCAGCTTGGGTCCAATGGGTTTCACTGATTCTCAGTACTGCCAAGTTGTATCTCCTCATTTCCGTTGCTATTTGACTGGTCTTCCCGGTCTCCCACATTGTCCGGACGTTCCATGTACCTATAAAAATTGTTACTCTGGTTGTTAGAAGGGGCATCGGCCTCGTGGCTTCCGAAGGAACTCGGCTTTCACCATGAAGCGTCATATTACCTCTAACTCCCAGGCAGGGTTTAAATGGTTTGAGTTATTTTTTCTGGTTAGCGTTTTTTTAGCGAGTTAGGTTTCTACGGGATGGGGACGCTAACCCCATGCCCAACCCTCCTCCTTTACCCGGGCTTGGGACCGGCAGTAACTCTGGAAGAGCTACAGGCGGAGTTACAAAGTGGTTAACTCATGAATAAATCGATTCGAGTACAAGTCTGTAAGTACTCTCTAAATAATGCCGTTTAATTTTTTCGTTTTATAATAAGACGATAATCGCGATAGATATTAATTTTTTATTTATAAACATACTGTTAACATAAACGGTGTTTTATTCGTGATTTTGAGTTGATTTTTCATATCTTCACCTTTACACTGGAAACTATTGTGTATACACTCATACATAATTATTATATGTTGAATGGTGGAATGAAATCTGCGGGAATCACTGGGTTAGGTTTTTCGTTGGTTAATACTCGTCAGCGACGTGCAATCTCAATTTAGGGGGAAATTGTGGTCGCTATAGTCTGTAGAATTTAGTCATCAGTAAGGACAGGACAACATGAAGTTCTATACTACCCAACAACCCGTTTTTGCGATTAATGGATCTAACGCTGGTTGTCATTATATTCAATACAAATTTATCATCTCACTATTCTATTTTCAGAATTCGACGACGTATACCGTCGATTGGGCATTGAAAATCTTATCGAGCGTGGAGAATCATTTTATCAAAGTCGAATGGAAGAGTTTGTTAATGATCTAAAAAGTCAGAATGTTCTGCAGGAAGATGAGGGTAGATTGATTTTGTGGCCACCCAAATGTGAAGTTCCTCTCACAGTTGTAAAATCAGATGGTGGTTTTACCTATGATACATCTGACTTAACTGCTTTACTTCAGCGTTTGCATGAAGAAAAGGCGGATTGGGTTTTGTATGTTGTGGACATGGGTCAGGTAAGTGGAATTTATTTATGCTGAAGTTGGCCACTAATCTCTCCCAAATTATCTCTACTTAGCGACACCTATTTTAGCCACAAAATACGTGTTAAAAATAAAATAAAGGGAAATGTAATTAGTGAGATTTCCTGGAATTTGCTTTTCTCCTCTTTTTCATAAGTTTCCTAGTCACTTTATCTTATTCTTATTAAAAATGGAGAATTCGAATACTCAACATTTTCTACCATCATCTCACTTAAAATACCCAAAATCCTTTCCACGTCTTTCAGCCACATCCAGTTCTATACATAACTTATTGGATTTTAAAAATGTAGTATATTCTTCGGTTGTGCAGAATATGAGGATGGTCATTAAAAATTCCTAATAATGAGTGACTTATTCAATTAATTAAAGTTGGACTAAATCTATTACACATGGCGAATGACATTTTCTTGGTCAGATCTGATCATCATGTGTCTGTGGTCTTTTTACAGTTTAGGTATCTTTTTTTAATAAAACAGTTAGTAGAAGTCTAAATGGATTCTTTCCTGTCTTAATTTTAAGCTCACTTGATATTAGTTCTAATGTCGAATGATACATAGTTAACTGATAAGCGTAGTTGTTGTTCTGTCTAGCTTATTTATCCAACTCTACGGTAACCTTAAGGATATAAGGTAACGAATTATACTGTCATTAAGTGAATGTATATCAGTACCAGTAATTACGTGTAATGAATCGCAGCAACTTTCTTGGTAAAATACGATGTACTATAGTGATATTCTATGGAATCGACTTTCCAAAAATAATGAAGCTCCATTTTCTATACCTTTGTGAGTTTAAAAGTTTAATGACTGGAACTCTAGCATCTTTAAGTATTTTCCCTCAAAATCCAGTTGAGTTTACTACAGTTCAGTTGATCAGGCCCCACAAAAAAACAAAGTATTGAACAAACGAAAATCGTTGACAATACAAAAGTAATTTGGCTGCTTTCGTTGTTTCAATTCAAATCAGGTGACAAATTTTCATACTAAAAAGCAGAGACGGGAATAAACATCAAATATTCATGTCTATTTAGCAACCAGGAGATAACTAAGAGATGCCTTAAATTACATATCACTAGTACAACTGCAGTCGGTAGGTAAGACAGAAAAATGATTTTCATGAGAAGTGAAGAATATATGAGACCAATCAAAGCTTCTCAGGATATTGACACGAAAGGATCGCAGGTCGTTATATGGGAAGTGGGAAGCGACATAATGCTCAGTCTTAATTTACCGGATCTGCAAAATTAATACCGTTTAAACATTTATGACATCTAGTTGTGTTAACGTTTTGTGGATAAACATGTCCTTTTTATTGAAAATCCTCGTGTACTGGGGCAACTGTTTTGGCGTCTGGTATCATTTCATTGAGGGAGTGGGATACTTACATCAATAATTCGATCTCATAAGCAATTATCACTAGACCACCTTGTATTGCTGCATATAATCAATCGATAGGCATGAAGTCTATTAATTTAACAATCCCACAACCGTTTCTGATAGCAAATTTTAACATTCTAATTCAGGACATCTGTTTTACTTGTTACCATTCTTATCTAAAAAATACTACTCAATGTCTGAATCAATACTTGTTTCCTCAATGTAGGGTTTGCGAGATGTTCAGCTATGTAAAATATCAACAACCACTTGTGTAATTAATATACCTTTCTGTACTAATGTGCTGCTTTATTTTAGTCTGTTCATCTTAACACGGTATTTGCGGGTGCAGAAATGCTTGGTTATTATAATCCGAATGTGCACAGAGTTCAACATATTGGATTCGGTGTGGTGCTCGGTGAAGATAAGTACGTTTTTTACTTCATTTTTACAGTTTTATCATGATATTCGCTAATTTCTAAAAGTTCATTGATCCACTAAACTATTTTGTTCATGAATCGAAAATGTAACCATGTATTTTTTTCGGACTATAGATCACACCAACTTTCTTAATGAATCTTCACTAATTCAAACCTTTATATGAACCGGCTAAAACACTGTCTACCAACATAGTTTACAATTATAGTGTGTTGAGAATACTAATACCACATAATTGGATTAGTGATACTTACTGAAGAACGTTCATTAATCAATATGATAATAAAAAAATAGACACATAGAATACAGTGATTAAATGGAACACTGTTTAACACATGAAACTTTCGTACATGGAAAATCAAGCTGCATCTCATATTCACCGTTTAACAACTAGTGATTAAAACTAAGGAAAATTCAACGAAGAAAATTTTCTTTTCAACGAAATCATTTACTCAAGCTGTACATGCGTATTTATAGTTATATGCAAAAGATTAATTGGACCCCAGAATACTAGATTAGTCATCTTAAAAAGCGCGGTATAGTGAAGTTTTTTTTCAGTCACTTATTTTTCTTACCTTTGTGTCTAAATTTGTTTGTTTGTTTTTATCAATGGAATACATTCTTCCTGGATTGTTTATTAAGGAAAAAATTTAAAACTCGTTCCGGTGACACAGTTCGTCTTGTTGATTTATTGGATGAAGGTCTTGAACGAGCAAAGAACCGATTGCTTGAGAAAGAAAGAAATAAAGTGAGATATTTTGAAATTGAAATAACTCTCTCATGATTTCCAGTCACATATCGCTGTAAATAGATATATACATATAAAACAGTTAGTGAGTACGTTGATTGCTTTCATATGGTGTAGAAATTCGAGCGTTATATGTACACCAGTAGATTTGTGATTAAAACATTTGACTCTTAACTATTGAACTGCAGGTTCGAACCCAGCTTCTGTTTAGGCAACAGACTAGTATAAATAGATTCCACGTAAAAATTTTAGTTTAAGGCCAAATACGTAAATGTGTACTTGGCGAAGTTACAGACTAATTTCTTGTTGTTTTTTAACACATTCAAACCCATCATATAATCCAACTAAGCCTATAGAGTAATAAGAATCACATCATTAATAGGCTTATTGTATATATTGGTAGCCATCACAAACTTCGATGCAGTAGTAATACTAATATTAATTTTAAAACATGATTTTTGTCGTGGATATATTGCGATAGTACAGTTAGTCAATTATCTCAATACTATGGTTTGTCTTTTCGTCTGATATGCTGAGGGCTCAGATAAATGAGTACATCTGTGTAATTCTAGATAATTTATATTTTATATAACATACATATACCCCTGTTCAGTTAATTTAAGAAATCCTAGTTGAAATCAAAAGGTAACCCGTTTCAAATTTGAAGGCTTTCCAATTTATTATCATCTAGTTTTCATATATTTCACATCCTCTTCCAAAATAACTATTTCCCCAAGCATAAAAATTAATCGTACATTAGGTATTTAAAACTGAACATTATAGTATGAAGCGTACAGAGAGTAGTACAATAAACTCTCTTTTATTTGTAGATCTTATGTTTCTGTTCTGTTATTTTCTTCCCCTCTTTTTAAAGGAGCTGAGTGAAGCTGAATTTGAACGAGCTCAAAAGGCTGTAGCATATGGTTGTATTAAGTATGCTGATTTATCACATAGTCGAACAATTGACTATGTATTCTCATTCGATAGGGTAAGTAATGATGATATATAGGAGAAAAGTGATCTGTTATTACTCTATTAAAAATATTTGGTAAAAATTCAATCCAACTTATAAAATAATGTCTAATAACTAAAGTTAATAGTTATGTAGTTTCTTTTACTTTAGTTACTGAAACCTTAGTTGATATTGAAAATCGAAATTTATGTTAGTCCTTAAAATTGGACAAACCATTTCACTGTATAATTTACAGGTTGTATTTGTCACAGATTAATATCAGTCCGGGTGTTATTGAAAACAAGGAAGCATTACACAGCAGTGCACATCCATGACCCAACCAGAGATCGGACCTAGGGTATTGACGTATTGTGGCGAGCCTCTAGTCTTAACCATTGGGCTGGGATCCATTGGTTTACATTTCTAACTCCAGTCAGTTTTGCAACCATTCTACAGTGTTTTAATCTGTCAGGTTGTATATACCATAGAGATCGTTATTTAAGAAATAAAAAAACCATCGCTATTTCTCATGTCTTTTAAAATTGTCTGCCTGTGTGTTAACTAATATCAGTGTACTATTTGACTAAGCGATCTGTTAATTTATTAAAATGTGTGCCGGGAATATTGTGAATCTGAGTGCTAAACATAATACAGATTATAAGAACTAAATTAACTAGTATATACTGGAGAATCAGTAATAAGGATGTCGCAAATCAAAGATAAGTGTCGGTATTAGCAAGTTTTTAATATTCAATATATATATATATATATATATATATATACGTAAATGTGAAGTGCAAACAAAAAATAGTTTAGTAATAAGTAAAATACAGAGACAAACAGGGTTCCCAGTTTTCTGAGTGCTCAATTTTTAGCACAAAAACGATTTTAATTACTGATTGGATTAATGATATAACTCAGTAATTAGAAGGTAATCTACCATGTACTCAGACTTCTGATAATATCTTGTTAGCTAAAACAAAAGTGGGACGGAGTTCAAACGTACGACCCAGTAACCGAAGTTTCTAGTCATTTAACAATTAAGTTATTACAACCCATTAGAATTAATGATGAAGTATAATCAATATTCAACCGCTTTTTATGAATGGTTTTTCACTGTAATTTGTCTAGATCTTGTTAAAATGTCAAACACATTACTGGGCAAAAATTAAGCTTCCTGTTCTATAACTTTTAAATGCAAATTTTAGATGTTGGATGATAAAGGAAACACTGCAGTTTACTTGTTATATGCATATACACGAATCAGGTAACTACTTATATATATGTATATATTTGAACGCATAAATATTGGTACAAAGGGGCACCGAATACATATGCGCCACACAAATCAAGTGATTTGTGTGTGGGCTATGATACTGCCCTGGTGCTCAGACCGACGCAGGTGGTTTTCTTAGGGGCCACACCCGAAGCCTGCGTCCTAAAGGTTTCGTAAAACCCCCCCCCCTCAAGAAGGCAGTCTGTATATGCGTGGCCATGTGAGTGCATTTCGAGAGGGAGACTTAACTCTCCCCACCCTCTGCTGCATATATAATGAGCGCATTAATAAAGGTGTTCGGTGTAAAAGGGACTTTATGTACAATTATTTCATTTTAAACTCTAGTCAAATATTTTATTTCGATACGAATAGATACAGATCTTTCTTGTATATCATTACATTTTCACTGCAAATACTTAATCGTAATCAGGTCTACGACATTTTAGGTAACCTAATATTGTCTAATAATCTCTTATTCTGTAGGGAATCCAACACAATCCCCGTTTTAATGGGTTATATCTTAGCTATTCTAAATAGACGTATATGATAAAATGACTAGGCCAATAACAACTTGTTTCCAAATTCGAGAAATTATAGTATTTATCGGCATTTGTTAAAAGTAGACTCTTCATCATACGTTTTTGATTCAGTCAGTCAGCTACAACGTAGGACCAGACATATATATACATCAGTCTAGGTCACCACACCTCATTAGCACAAGATGTTTTTGATTAGTCGTAAGGCCAAGGGACCGAGGGTAAATCGGATATGTTTCACACCATCAGAAATGTTATTACCCTTTTCACTGATCACCTTTATTAATATGCGTCCTTTTGATGGTCACCACTCATTAATGCTCGACCTTATCAGTCTGTCCTTTTTGTTTGAGCCCTCAGTAGTGTGAACCATAAAAATGCGTAAGATATTTATTACTTCCTAATTTTTTAAAAGTACATCCTGTTTACTCCTATTTTAAGTAGGAGTAATGTAGAATCAATGCAGCTTCTATACATATACTTTTCCAATTAAACATGAAGTAATTTGGTTGAATTTGTTTGGCAGACGGCTATGTCATACAAGAACACAACATTTAGGAAAAAATCTAGTCATGCAGTAAGATTATTATTACAAAGGTTGCTGAATGAGGGAATAGTGCCTTGACTATTTCCTTTGTATAGAATACTTGCTTTTCACTCCCGACCGTTGTTGCTACCTTGACGTGGTGGTCGGCCTTGCCTATCGTGATGAAGCAACTGAGCTACACTGGCTGGAACAACCGTTCCTCAAGGTCCTACCACGTCAGACAGGTCGGTTGAAGAGCGGTAAGACTAAAAGCAACAAATCCAAGGTCCGAAGGCGAAATCGTACTGCTGACTGTAGAGAGGTGTGACAGCAGTAAGGTGTTTCCTTCAGACAACCAGCATGACAGCAATGCTGCCTTCCCACAAGGAGGGGTGGGGTTAGAATAAGTTGACCCTAAAAATGTCACACCTCGCCTTATCCCACGGATATCCGTCTCCGACGGTAAGGTCTCAACAAGTACGGAGCTAACGTGAAAATTACTCATAAAAAGGTGATGTGTGACCAACCTCAAGCAGCTGTCCCTTGGGCACTGCGGTCACGCTATCAGGTCACTGTGACAACCTCTAACCCAATTTCCTTTTCAGGTATCTCCAGGAGAACCCTTCCACGGTGTGGGCGACCGGGAAGTGATAACCGCCCTCATACCTCTAACAGCACTCAAGACGACTGTATTCATAATCAACCTCCCTCTTCAATTCCTATTTTTCCTCCTACATCGACTTTCAAACCTAAACTTCCTCCTTTGGTTTCCTCCTCAAGTATCACCACAGCCAACGATTCTAGTGCTCAAAACGCTGTCCCAGGTCTACTGAAACCTCGCTCCAAACTACACCTTGAAGCCTTCAACGTACGCACATTATGTCAAATCAGTCAACAGGCATCCTTGGCTAAAACCCTAGAATCTCGTACGATTGATGTATGCTGTGTCTCCGAAACACACATACAGGATCCTAGTGTCACGTGACCTCACCTCGGCAAAACGGTGAGCCGACGAGATACACCCTCCGTGTATATGGCGACCCGTGTATCTCGCCCCCAAATGCCCTGGTACGGCCGAGAGTGGGGAGAGTCCGCTCTCCCTCTCGAAATGCTCTCACATGGCCATGCGTATATAGCCCCTGCCAGGGAAGTCCTACTCAATGCCTTCTCGTGGCGGGGGTGTTGTTTACAAAAATGAGAGGACGAAAAGCGAATGTCTGGCGCTTTAACCGGACCCCAAACCAATGGTGCACATGGGCTCCAGTATCCTGCGGGAACAAATGGCGTATGAACCAATCGTTGGTCACCGGCTACCATGGGACTGCATCTCCTCACGATGCTCCACTGCCTTGTGGGTCAGACGTTCAGGTCAAAGGCTCGGGGTGTGGCCCCCTAAGACAACCACCTGCTTCGGTTTGGGCACCCGGGCAGTATCACAGCCCTCACACAAATCAATTGAGATTTGTGTGGCGCATATGTATTTTGGTGCCTCCCTGTACCTATACTTATGTGTTAAAATAAATAATAATAAATAATCTGGCGACCCGACGCCTAGTTCTCGTGGGCTGGCAGGTGTAGGCATAGCACTAAGCATGAGGGCGGAACAAGCGCTATTAGAGTGGATCCCCGTTAACAGTCGTCTATGCGCTGCTCGGCTAATCGGCTCCGTAAGAACTCGGAAAGATAGGGACACACGTCGTTACCTTTTCGTCGTTTCTACCTACGCTCCCACTGACTGCAGTTCGGATGAACTGAAAAATGAATTTTACAGAAATCTGTCTGAAATTCTTCAGAAAGCTAAACGTTCAGACATAGTACTCGTAGCAGGTGACTTTAATGCTCAGGTAGGTAGCTTAAACGAGACAGAAAGACATTTAGGTGGGTATTTCAGTATTCCGGCGCAGCGAACGGATAATGGTGATCGTCTGCTGCAACTGTGCTCAGACAACCGTTTATTTTTAGCAAACACAAATTTTAAGCATAAGGAGAGACACCGTCTGACATGGCGACCCCTTGCACCAAATCAACGATGGACTCAAATAGACCATATTGCCATCAGTCATCGTTGGAGAGGGTCGATAGAAGATTGTCGCTCATTCCGGAGTACCTGTTTGGACTCCGACCACGCACTAATACGAGCACGCATCTGCTTGCGCCTCACTGGACGCAAAAAAGACTCATTAGAACCGAATTGAGTAATGAGAAAACCAAAAGTAGGTTTCAGGAACAACTGAAGTCACACTTAGATAGTTCTGAAAACAAGGCTGACCCAGATGTTGCTTGGAAAAATATACAATCTGCTGTGGAAACAGCAGTGACATCAATGAGTAATTTAAACCACAGGGTTACAAAGAACCAATGGATTTCTTCAAGGTCCATTGCACTGATGGACTCTCGTAGACTCATCCCATCAGGTTCTGAACACGATGAAGAGCGTACACAAATCAGATCTAGGTTAAGCAAAAGTCTAAGGAACGACCGTGAGCAGTGGTGGGCAACGAAAGCAAAAGAGATGGAAAAGGCGGCGGCTATACGGAACACAAGACAACTCTACAGACTAATAAAAGAAACTGGAATTAATAAATCAAGTGTAAGTCAGACTATTTCGGAAAAAACGGCACTTCCATCTGCTCCCAGTCCAGACGTTTAGAACGATGGGCGGAACACTTTAAGGATCAGTTCAGTTGGCCTTCAGCTACTCTACAACTACCCTCCATTCCCAGACAGTGTGAATGGGACATTGAAGTAGGTCCACCAACTCTAGCTGAAGTTCAAAAGGCTATAGTTAATCTAAAACGAGGAAGGGCAGCTGGTCCAGATGGATTGGCCCCAGAGGTCTTTAAGGATGGTGGTCTAGTTTTAGTGATTAGGTTGACTAATATTTTAGCTAAAATCTGGGAGTTAGACGTTATCCCCTCTGACTGGTCACAATCACTTATCGAGATGGTGGAGAAGATTTGTAGCTCAGGTGGATGATTTTGATGGAGTTTTGTTCTCTGAGCTCAGAGAACAAAACTCCATCACAATCACTTATCGTCCCAATATATAAGAAAGGGTTAAAATCATCCTGTGACAACCATAGAGCGATTTGTTTAACTAATATAGTATCTAAAATACTAGCCTCGATAATTATAGGACGCCTAAATAAGACTCGTGAACTGCAAACACGAGAGAATCAAGCTGGCTTCAGACCTGGTCGTGGATGCATAGACCACATTTTCACCATTCGTCAGGTTCTAGAACACAGGCATACTTATCGGCGTCCGACAATGGTGGTCTTTCTTGACTTAAAAGCATCATTTGACTCTGTAGATCGAGAGGTTCTGTGGCAGTGTCTGTCATTGAAAGGCGTACCTCAGAAGTACATAAACCTTATGAAGGCTCTTTACTCGAACACTACTAGTCGGGTCAGAGCTTGTAGCGAACTGTCATCCACTTTTGCAACCTCAAGTGGGGTCCGTCAAGGCTGTCCACTTTCTCCATTTTTGTTTAACTTTATCATAGACCTCCTGATGGAAAGAATATTCTCATTGACTGAATTCTCGGGTATTGATCTCCTACCAGGAGGTCCACTTATTGACTTAGAATACGCAGATGACATAGTCCTGTTTGGTAAAGACGCTGATAAAATGCAGAGTGTTTTGGTAGCACTGAGCAACAATGCCAGGATGTTTGGTATGCGCTTCAGGACTGGACTGCGTCAACACCTGAACTAAGGATAGGGAGTGAAGTAGTCGAACGCGTTGACAACTTCACTTATCTTGGAAGTCAGATCAGCCCTAATGGGTTGGTGTCTGATGAAATCTCAGCACGGATTCGAAGAGCTCGTTTGGTTTTTACCAACTTACGTCATCTATGGCGAAGGCGAGATATCGGTCTATCAATTAAGGGGCGAGTATACTGCGCGGCAGTTCGTTCCGTTCTACTATACGACTGCGAAACATGGCCATTACGAGTTGAAGCTACTCGTAAGTTACTAGTATTTGACCACAGGTGCCTTAGAAATATTGCTCGCATCTGCTGGGATAACCAGGTAAGTAATAGTGAGTTTAGACTTAGGGTATTAGGAGATGATGGTAAGTCAGTTGATGATGTTATGAATCTTCATCGACTGAGATGGTTGGGCCACGTGTTGAGTATGCCTGAACACCGATTACCACAACGTACAATGCTAACCGGTGTTGGGGATGGTTGCAAGAAAGTTAGGGGCGGCCAAACCAAAACGTGGTATCAGTGCTTGAAGTCACTAACTTCTGGTTTGAACCATGTTGGTAGATGCAGACTACCTGGTTAGGGTCCGCGTGACTCTCGTAACCAATGGTTGGAGACTCTTGGTGACATGGCCCAAAATCGATCACAATGGCGTCGGTGCATTCACTCTCTGTCTTCCCTTAATCTAAGAGATTAAAATCACTTCATATCTTTCTTTCTACAAACTAATTCTTTCTTGTACTATCTCTTTATATGCAATCTTTCTTTTATATATTACCACCACTGAATTAACTACTTCTATGAATCCGGTATTGATCTTGTTGTGCTAATGAGGTATGGCAACTTGGACCGATGCATATATGTGCCTGGTCCTACGTTGCAGCTGACTGACTTTTCACTCCAACACCAAATGTTTATTTTAGTAGTGTTATGATTGTCAAAAAGAAGCTAATACAGTATTGTTTCGATCCATTTTGGTACGTTCAGAGGGTAACTTTTGGTATTGGATACCATTACTAATATTTCGGTTCATATACAAAACTGATATTTATTTCCATTTAAAAATGTTTATCACTGATGTTACTCGTTGATTTCAAAGTTTTTTTCGAAAACACAATAGAGTTATTGTCCTCTTGAAATATCACTGTATATTTTTGTCTAAGCCCTAAATTATTCAAAACATGCACTAACTTCATACAAGCCAATTCTATGATTATTTTATTTTACAGATCAATTATAAGAAATGCTGGTTATTCTGAAAGAACAATCAATGAAATTAGTGAAACAGTACCACTGAGATTTGAACATCCTATGGAGTTGACATTAGCCAAAGCATTATGTCGTCTACCAGATATTTTAATAAAAATTCAAAATGACTTTCTATTGCATAGCCTATGCGATTATTTGTACGACTTGAGTTGTGACTTTACAAACTTTTACGATGCATGTTACTGTATTGAACGGAATCAAGAGACCGGTAAGTGTATGTGTTTGTCTACTTCTTCAATAAAGTTGATCATTTTTTAGTTGACCGCATTAGGTTCGTACTGTTGCATGATTAGATGTCCTATTATTATTTGTTTTCTGTTGTTAATAATATTAATTAATAACATTAGTAACTAATCACTGAAGTACATAGTGGTTGTCATTCAATCAAGTTTTCTTTTACTCATCTACATTTTACAGTGACTTTAATTCGTATAAATTAGTACCTAATTTGTAATTTATCGTACAGTAATATCCAGATGCTTTTAATTAGTAGTGTGTATGCAGGATAGTAAACCAGAAATACTAATTATAACAATTGACTAGGAGTAAAATCAATATTAAGATAATGAACTATAATTTTTGTCGAAATTGCTGTTTTAACTGATTGGTCTAATCGTGAAGCTCTCAATGTCTTTCTACATAACACCAGTATATAACTCCGAAATTCATCCACAAGTGACCGTGAATTGGATTGGTTGTTGCGTCAGAACATTCCTTCTGAACTGCAAATTCTAGCCATTATTTCACTTAAGATTATTTTAACGTCAATACACTATGTCATACCAGGGAAAAACATATCCTTTATCCCCAATGCATTATTTTAGAATGGTTCATTCACTTTTTAACACGTTGCACTTTACTGTTTGTAATATGGATCTTTATTTATTGATTCATTTTAGGTGATGTTCAAATTAATAAAGAACGTATTGTATTATGTGAAGCTACTGCTCGAGTAATGAAATGTGGATTTGATATACTTGGAATTGAAACAGTTGAAAAAATGTAAATGTTTTTGTGCTTAGTTGAACAATAAACATTTGTACAAAAGGAGTAGATATGTCTCATTTCTTTAAAAAATTTATTCCATAAGATGTTAATCATGGTATGGGAGTAGATGTGTAGAAATTCGAAACAACAATAATAGTAGTAGTAATAGCATAGAAAGATTTCTTTCCTGTAATAAACAATTATATCTACAATGTATTCAAAGAAATCAGTCACTAAATATTCTTATACTTATTAGTAGTCTATCTGTATGTTGAATGAAATAATGTAGATTTTTGCACAGTTTGAGTTTAATTTTGGGATGGTGATTACATACACCTGTGGAAGATATCTAATTAATTAATTTACTACTTTTAGTTATCACTATTTGATAAATCACTCTGAATCCCTTCATTCTACCTACTATAAGTCCACTGTCGATCAAGTATGATTAAATAAACACATCTGTGTATTAATTTTTTCCAAACCACGAAGGGAGTTGCTGGCTGACTCGTTATCTGGTCGTACGTCCGAGTAGTTAAATAAACAGTGGCATATCAAAACCAGGTGAATTATTCCGCATTTGAAGAACCACAATAGGTCGACCAGAAAATGATAAACAGAGATTCCGTAACACAACTATTCTCAATTTCACCTTTAATCAACAATCCTGAAGAACTGGTGCTTAAACCGACACCACTTTTAGAGGTGTTACCGCCGACAAAGTTAACTAACCTAAATTTCATATTGAAACTCGACCAACAGAATCTAGTTAGTACTAAGGACCAGGAATCATAATATAGGTTAATACTGAGCGACCAATTAGTGTAAATACGTCATAAATAGGTTAGTTACGGGCTGAATGACTCAGTCCCATTGTTTCCAACTGACAAATGACTAATACTTGTTCGGAGCATTAGTTTCTTTAGGATTATTGACACAAATACGAAACTAACATAAAACTTTGATACCAGGCTTCAGGTTGATTAACCTGTTGGGGACGATAGATCCCCAAAAACTCATAGTTTGTAATTTATCTTATGGAGCTTGTATGCAGATGTATACGTGGGCATTTCTTACCGCCCACGCACATAGTTGATTGACGAATTTATCGATTAAATGTTTAAATATTTCAATGGCAGTCAATTGACGAACTATCGATTAAATGTTTCAAAGCTCCATGACAATATCGATGTATATATAATTGTATATATAGGTTTTGAAATTGTCTTGTAAAAAGTTCGCTGGTTTTCTGGTTGTTACAGAATATACTTTCATTCTAAGCTTGGTCTTCTCACTCTAGATAGCGGGACTGGGACGCGTCAATAGATAGCTTACTGGTCGTTGGTCACCGAATCCTCGATCTCGTTCTCGAACTACGTGAACCCGTGATAGCTCTCTCTCCAAAACCTAACATACCCCCAGTTAATAAGCAACCAATTCTAAGTGTTAGCTGGGACTTTGATAATAAATTACCAGGCATTATGTATTTGCTAGAACTGTGCTTCCTAATTTTGCGAAAATGACCGTTTAGAAGGTCCGAAGTATGCATCACCAGTACTGAGTATCAGTTAGCAATAATAATTTGAATGAAATGGCTCAAAATCGTTTACAATAGTGCAGGTGCATTCATTCTTTGTCTTTCTCAAATCCAAAGCTTTTGAATTCTTCATAATTTTTCTGGCTTTTATTCCACTAATTTATATTTTCTTGAACCTTCGATGCCTAATCTTTTGTACTACCACCTCTACTACTCTGGGATTTGGATTAATTTCATCTCCGTGCTAAAATGGTGTGGAAAATTGAGTCGATTTAAACAAGTACCAGGTTTTACGTTGTGACTAACTAAAACAATAGTAACGGCATGATATATACACTGATTTGAGTCAAAAACAAACATCAATATCAATTCAAAGGATAGTTCAAAAGAAGATATTTCAAGACAATTATTTTCCTTATGATGTCAGTGAGATGAGAATTATATCCTATATTATTTTGAATGGGACTAATTCATCGTCATACACATGAACAAATTTAAGATAATCTTGAAGTAATAATGAATGGACAAACAATTACATAAATTCGCACACAACCCAAATGCCTAACTGGGATAGAAAAAAGTTTTCAATAAAAAATAGTAAACTTTTTGATGGATGAATAGGGAACATTAATATCACAGTTTAAGCAGGTGATAATGATATATATATATATATATATATATATATATATATATATATATATATATATATATATATATATATATGAAAATTTGGTAAAGTTCTTGTAAGTCCCTGAATAAGTAGTTGACAACACAATGTGAAATAGCAAAAACAAGGAGCATTTAAATAATCATTCTCTCTCTTGTATAAAGTAATAAGCAGATGTGGAATAAAGAAGCAGAAGGAATATAAATGACGAAAATACTCTAAATGTCTTCAATCGATTGATTTAAATCAAAGCGTAAAACACTAGTCCCAGATGCTTGTTGTAAACGATCATTGAAAATCAAATTGATTAAACTGGAAGGTGCTAAACCTACTTCACTTAAACTAAGATTATCATCGGTTAATTCAACAGGCACCGTCGGAGGCGCATTCGTAAGTGTGGCTGTTTGAAGGCTTGGTGGGGCATATAATCGAAATAAATAAGGCTTAGCTAAACATTCAGAAATCCATTGTCGGACAGTTGAAAGTTTATCCATAGCATAAAATGTACCCTGAAAAGTAAACAAAAATTCTTATCAACCATATGCAAAATGTTAGCACGGTGAATAATAAAAAATGAATAAAACTTGGATTAATTTTGATTTGGTTACTTATTCCCTGAAGAAGTGGTCTACACTAAGTCACGAAATGTCATAAAATCTAATTTTTCTACTCAATGGGATATTACAAATATATTGTTTTTATTTATAACAATCTACCCAATGCTCAATTTATTCGAAATTATCAAGTCAAACCTTGGTAATGATACCTACAACATAAAATGATTTTCTACATAATGATGTATCAACGGAAATTCAGTGCATAATTATGTGAAGAATGCGAAAAGTTCGAAGGAAATCCAGTGATTGATTTAAACTTTGTCGACCGATATAATCAGTCACGATTGTGATCGACGTCTCATCTTTAAGCTTGCGAAAATGACACAACACGGAGAACAGCAATCCAATCACTCTTGATGGCGAAACTATGGAAGATGTAGAATCCTTCACATACCTGGGAAGCATCGTCGATAAACAAGGAGGCTCAGATGCAGATGTCAAGGCGAGGATTGGCAAAGCTAGAGCGGCATTCCTTCAACTGAAGAACATATGGAACTCAAAGCAACTTTCAACCAATATCAAAGTCAGAATCTTCAATACCAACGTCAAGGCAGTTCTTCTGTACGGAGCTGAAACTTGGAGAACTACAACAACCACCATCAAGAAGGTACAGGTATTTATCAATAGCTGTCTACGCATGATACTCAACATCCATTGACCGGATACCATCAGCAACAGCCTTTTGTGGGAGAGAACCAGCCAGCTTCCAGCTGAAGAGGAAATTAGGAAAAGACGATTGAAATGGATAGGACATACATTGAGGAAATCATCAAACTGCATTACGAGACGAGCGCTAACTTGGAATCCTGAAGGGAAGAGGAAAAGAGGAAGGCCAAAGAACACACTACGTCGGGAAATAGAAGCAGATATGAAAAGGATGAATAAGAACTGGAAAGAGCTGGAAAGGATTGCCCAGGACAGGGTTGGATGGAGAATGCTGGTGAGCGGCCTATGCTCCTTCACGGGGAGTAACAGGCGTAAGTAAGTAAGTAAGTGAATGGCTATGATAACTATCATTATAGACTAATATTGTGACACATCTGCCCTTCGCCACCTGAATTTATAATAACAACCTTTAGTGTTTAGCGTCCCTCTTACTTAAACCCTACTGTTCTACAAAATCTTTATAAATTTTCTTGGTTTTCAACAAGCTGAATATTGTCTAGAAAATTCAGGTCAAAAAAATTCTCTGATGAGCGTTCAACAAAACTGTCAGTGTGTGAAGAATAAGCAATTAATAAGAACCTTGGTGAGGTATAATTTACCTGAGATAAATAAGACCAGCCAATCATAAACAACACACGGCGGACCTAGAACACATCAATCAGTTCAATATTGTCACGCTTCCTATCAACGCAACAACAGGATTACAACACGAAGTAGTATAATAATACAGTTTAAAAAGAATGAATGAGACAAAGAAATGAAAAAAATATAAAACTAAAATAAAACCTGGAGATTTCAGGGAAACAAAAAGAGTATGCATCTGCATCATTGTAGAGATATCCAATTCTGAAGACCAATTACTTCGTAGATCCAAACCACAAAATTTCTACTGCCCAACATACACAGTCTAACATTTTATAGTTTCATGACTTGATAATATATTTCAGTCTTGCCAATCCATGGCTTTCTTTCAATCTACTTTTTATGATTGTTAACACAACAAATAGGCTTAGACGTTAAAATGAGCATGAGTAAAACATTCTCCACCTACTCATACCGATGAATGCTCACAGCCTAAGAAAACGGTTTCACATTCTTATTTACTAAGATAAAACTGACTTTGGGATTGCTTATTGAGTGGTAACACCATGCTTTGTTGTGCTTTGAAGAGACCTACCATTAAATACCAGAAACTATCGTATATCTTCAAAGCAATATTTGATAACCTCAAAGTAGTAAAAAGCAGATGCACTGTTGACTATGAATTAAATGATCCTATAAGTGAACAGTCAGTTTTCAATTCAAACAATTTGAAATGATTCAGTTGTCAAACATCGACAGTAAGTGATAAATGAACCATATGGTTTTCATGGATGTATTAGATATAGTTATTTACCATAATTGACATTTCATGTTTTCTTTTCTGAACTATGTACAAATCAGAGATCAGGAATAAAATTAACAGAAGTGTTTAGTATTATCTCGTATTTAGTCTACAGATTGTTTAAGATGAAACATGAAAATTAGTACACTATGTTTAAAGACTGCGGATAAAACATTTTTCCGGAAACGACTGTAACATGTAACATAAACTATAACTGACTAAATAAACACAATCCAGTCAAAAAAGAGAAGCACAAACCTGAAGAAGAAGGTTATCCGGGAACCGAACACGAATAACAGCGTAACGAAACGATTTCATATTTTGCGTTTTTAATCGTTCTCTCATGGCTTTAGTAAGTAACATACGACTTTCTTCTATAATTCGATGTTGATGATCGTAATATTTACGAAATTCTTCTTTTGTTAAGGAGAAAAACTCATCAGGAAGATCATCACGCGGAATACACGTCAGAGTACGACCAGTAGCCTGGTAATAAGTTACAAATAAATTCATTAAGATATAGCCATATCCGATAATACTAGCCAATTATAGGGATAATTAGACCATTCTTGTAAAACATCAATCTCCCTTATTCTTGTCGTACGTTGTGTTAAGTAATCATCAGAGTGTTGACCACTTGGAATTTCATTAGGTCTTTTGATTGGCGTATTAAACTCGTATCAGTAATAGAATCAGCACTCAGCCTATATGCCCTAATCAATGTAGGGTTTATAAGGTATTGAGACCAGTGCATCAGATTTAAGATATAGAGTAATACAGTTGAATGTGTAACTTGTAGTTTTTCCAATCAAGAATTAATAATTGGAAAGATAATTAGGTAGAGGATTATAAATTTTGACGATACGCTATAATAATTAGGTGGTTGATCACGTCATGTGTTAATAACATGATGAATTCAATTGAAATAATATAGATTGACATGAATGAGTATAACAAACCAACAACAGCATCAGATTCCCCTAGGTAACCATAGGTAGTTAACTAGTAAAGAAGAACATGTATTTTGCGTGCTATTTTTATTTGTTTGTATTGTGAAGCTAGAAACATTGAAATGAATTAAATTTAGTTTATTAGTAGTGTAATAATGTTTGGATCACTAGTTTTTCAATCATGTTCTTGTACCCACTTTTCCTATTTCAGGTTTACCCAGCTGGTTAGTGTATCACTAGTAGTTGTCACGTAAACAATGTAGCCCAAAACTGAATACATTAATAAGTACTTGCTACATGAATTACAGAATATGAGCAAGATAAGTTGGTTACATTCAGTCAAACGAAAGCACTAGGTCATGAGAAGGTATTTAACCAGAGTTTATAATGTATACCCAAACATATGGAAAAAAATAAACTACAACTCACTCGATACACTTTGGTATTACGATATAATTCAGGTAGAATAGGATCAGCTGTGGTAAGTAGATTCAACAATTTTTCTAAATGCTCTCTATTATTAGCATCTTCCTCTGATATTACATAGAAAGCCTCCTTGTACTCTTCAACTACATCCTCGTTATTTTCCACGGTTGGTTTTTCATCAGCACCTTCGAATTGTTGTTGCCCACTAGGATGTGTGGCAGGTAACATCATCTTTTTAAAATTACATAACTGTATTTTGATTTACACAAGAAAAAATAATTTATAGAAATAAAAATAAACATTCAGTAATGCATGAATGAAATAGATAAACATTAGTAGTACAACATTAAGAAGATATATCTATAAATTTAATGAAAAAAATAGTGTAACAACTAACAATACACGTCTATAAATATGTTCCTGGTTATAGCTTTATCTAGAACAGCATAGTTCAAAGTCACGGTTTTTCTGTCTAATTTCCTTTATTTATTTATTTGAACACATAAATATTGATACAAAGGAGCACCGAATATATATGCGCCACACAAGTCACTGGGCTTGGGTGTGGGCTATGATACTGGCCTGGTGCTCAGACCGACTCAGGTGGTTTTCTTCAGGGCCACACGCGGAGCCTTCAACCTAAAGGTCTGATCCACAAGACAGTGAAGCAACGTAAGGAGATGCAGCCCCGTGGTAGTTAGTGACCAATTATTGATTCATATGCCATTTTTTCCCTCAAAATCCTGCAGCCCATGTACACCATTGGTTTGGAATCAGGGTTTTCCAACTCCCCTATGTGGACTCTCTGTGTTCACCAACCGGTTAAAGCGTCGGAAATTCGCTTATCGTCCTCTCAATTTCGTAAACGATACCGTCGCCGCAAGAAGGCAGTGAGTAAGACTTCCCTGGCAGTGGTTGTATGCACATGGCCATAAGAGAGCATTTCGAGAGGGAGAGCTAACTCTCCCCACCCTCGGCCGTACCAGGGCATTTGTGGGAGGATGATGCATAGAATAACTTGAATGATGCCATGTAACAACATATACTGAATTATTACAGGCATTTAATGTGAACTTATGACAAGAAAAATAGATCGAATCGACTTGCTTATAAAGAGAAAATTTTTAAGTTAGCCGATATAGCATCAAACTTTCGGATGAAACGCGAAGTTTATTGCTTAGAAAGTTTTACTTTTATTCAATATATTATGGGTTCAAATCTTTTTGCACTTAGCGTAGTGGCTCAAAATCAAGTACATAAGCCTAGGGACTTAGTAATCAAGTTACTGACGTAATTCTTCAAAGATATTTTCACTCCCTAAGAAAACCACCTGCTTCGGTTTGGGTACCCGAGCAGTATCACAGCCCTCACATAAATCAATTGAGATCTGTGTGGCGCATATGTACTTGGTGCCTCTCTGTACCTATACTTATGTGTTAAAATAAAATAAATAAAATAAATCCAAAACAGCATAGAATTCTAGAATGCAATCCTTTCAAAGGATTACATAATCACATCATTACAAAGTAGTTATCAAAAGCATTATAAAATAAAAACCATGATTGTATATATAAAAATAATCAATTACTGTGAGAAAAGATTCGAATCCACCGATAGACAAAAGATCTTGTATCAATTTATTTGATGCACGCAGACGTCGATAAACTGGATTTTCTGGTGCACTAATTAAATTTTGTAAAATTCTAACGATATTCTGTTTACGATTCTGTTTAATTTCACTAAGAGACGGTAATTCTGACAATGGGATGTTTGAAGATGATGGAAGTTTACTTTTCTCTATTCCTCTGATAACCATTAACACTATGGCTTCATTAGTATTACAAACAGAACCAGATAAGAGATAATTTTGGATAGCTTGTTCAATCTCATCCCGACTTCCCAACACTGTATCACCAAAAAGATTAGGGCACCAAAATAAAAGCTCTGAAATGAATAAACCATAATAAATAACATAACTCAGTAATGAAGTGCAAGTACACAAAAAAAGGAATACACAGAATCAAGTATTATCCAATGACATAATACAATAGTGGTAAATACAGGTACTATAAAAATTGATTTGTATATGGGAAAATCGATGGCCGGATCATAAACGTATTTTCCGCATCATTGCATCACTGATAGTGAGAACAATAACAATATTTGGTAGTAGTGTAAAAAATAAAATCAAAAACTTAATTCATTCATCAGGTACTTGGGTATGAGCTTAAGTAGTGTAAGGGTTAATGATATTATCCAGACGCTCATACTAAAGTAGGTGGAGAGGAGTTTAAACCTGGGGACTAAGTGGTTGAAAGTCAAACCTCCTAACCAATAAGCCACTACTCCATAATTTCAGACAAAGGACAATCCCAAATCTATTATAATATACGCAAATGTGGGTGATTTAGATTTGATTAGATATCACGGAAAAACAAAATATCCATATTGTTACTGTACTATTGGGCGTACAGTGCCGATTGACAGCTCGGTAATATACAAACTTCGTCAAAATTCTGTCATATGTTTAAAATTTTAAATTGTATCCTCTTGACCTAGTTCTGAGGGCACTAAAATTAATAATATGACAAACATTTAGACAAGTATACAAAGTTGCCAAATTAGGTTATTTGCTTTCATTTTTAAAGTTTTATTATACATCATTATATCAAAAGATTACTTTCCAAAGAGAACAATTTCATGGAAACATAACGGACAACAATTAGATGAAATAATCTACAGATATTATGGTAAAACTACTTTGTATATAAGTTCGTTTGATAGTTAAATGATTCTCCGTTTGATCTCGGCTCATCAAAAACAATTATTTGCAAAGTAGACATAATTCTCAAAACAACACAGTATGCACACTAATTATTTGTCCGAGATGAATTTCTCCTTGTTTTAGTGGAAATTCACCACCTTTGAAATGAACCAAGTTAGGAATAATATAGTGACTTAAAGGGGATACTGAACAATTATGTTACATCATTAGACTGAAATCAGGAGATACAAATGGTTACAAAAATCAGCAATGAGCTTGACAAAAGCCTTGAACAACCTGATTTCGATCCTTCATGCGACTGATTGTAGGTGCAAGTTGATAAACGGTGTCCAAGATGAAACTATACATTAGTGTTTTCTTGATTTTAAGTGGGTTATTCAACTGACTTCAAATCATAAGGAAAAATATCCTCAAAAAAATCACAAAAGTTCTTACTTAAGAGTCTGTATTTCTGTAATGTTATTTTATTTAATCAATAAATTAGAATTTACCTTAACTTGACAGTAGATTACGCAAACTAACATCAAATTACTCACATGACACATTACTTTAAACAATCAATACAAAAAATTCTAATGTGAAAATTTAATCAATAAACTACCCCCTCCATAGGCACCCAATAATTTGAATGACAACTTATAGATTTTTTTCGAAAGGTTTGGTAGAAAATGAACAATAATATGATAAGCAGAATACAATTTAAGTAAATGTGTAAAACTGTTAATGAAATTTTTTGAACTGATGCTATACGCTTTCATAATCAGAGAAATACTAGATTACAGATAATATAAATTTGTATGGAATCAGACTAGAAAAATTGCAAAAGGATAACTAAGTGGTTGTTAAAACACAAAGAGTAGACAAACCGATATTGGAAAAGGCAAACACAAGTTTTTGTCCTACATTCACACTAATATGGTATTCATAATAATGCTTTAATTGTGGATTAGTCGGTAATACTAATGCTACTACCACTACTACTAATAATAATAATATTTATTATTTTATTTATTTGAACACATAAATATTGGTACAAGAGGGCACCAAATATATATGTGCCACACAAAACAATGAGAATGGGAAGAGAAAAATGTAAGGTGTATATAAGAAAAAAAAGAACAATAACGAACAGATTAGTGTAAGGTAGTGTAATAGTATTAATAATGGGGGAAACGAAAAGGTGCAATCAGAAAAAGCAACCACTTTTTACGAAGACACTAAAAGAAGGTTACAGCAGGATCGCCACTGGCTTCTATTCTGAGCCATATATGATAACGTCTCTAGCCACTGCGTTGCACCATCTCTCGGACCCCAGCCAGGGAGTCGTGAAGGACCAACACAAGCCAGCCCTTTGCAGCTTTCTTTCATACCATGACATCATGTCGTACACTGACCACCTCTCCGCTTTTTCCAACCAGTCCCAGAGTCGGCAAATAGTGCATGACGTGGAATTCTCCGGGACGACATTCGTAGAACATGCATTAGTTGCCTTTGCAATAAAGGTCGATGATGAGACGGATACGACACTGTTCAGGAGGTAATGGATAACAGAAAGTTGGAACGACCCTATCATGACATCAAATATCTCAACTGATCTAGAAACTAAAAAATAACCAAGAACTCCGAAGCTGATATAATCACCAAGATAGCCACAAGTTTAAGCAGAGCTAAATCGAATAAGAATAAACCTATACGAACATTACTAAGATTAGCATTGAGTCTTAAAACCACAAGAAGAAAACTTTTCACGATCGCTGCTCGAAGATTTTTGCTATTGATTAAATAGGGTCGTTGGTTAAGCGAAGGTCAGTGGTCCGGTAGGTGTTAAACGTGCTGAAGACAAGGCTAACCAGGTAACCTTTCTAGCTTTTAGACAACAATTTTGGCTCGAAGTCTAGCAGATAAACTTGTGATCCGTTACTGAGTTGCAGTATGATTGTCTTAGGTTAGGCGTAAATATCTAAATAGAAATAAAAATAGATCCTCGTCCTATTTAGTCAGTAAAGACCTATCGTTCCTTTTACACAGAAATAATCATTCCACTTTAATAAAAACAAGCTAAAGTAAGGAAAGTTAGCAGAAAACAGCTTACTTGGAATAAGTATGGGTTTTTCAGGATGGATTTCTCTCAAAGCTTGCATCTGATTTTCTACTCCGACTGATTTATATTGTAGATTTCTCTCATCTTGAGTGGAGCTTACTATACAAACCATTAAAACATGAAATTACAAACGATTAAATTTAATTTGACGTTACGTACATTAGTGTTTAACATCAAATTAAACATAGAAGTTTATTTGTGGAAGTTATAAAAAATACTGTGATGATATTACACTGTGAACATCTTACTGTCTTATTCATACAGTAGTGTGGTGTACTACTGATGTCGACAGATATAAATAGTACGAATCATCAAGTGAAAGCGAAATGCCTGGAAGCAGAAGTTTAAGAAGATCGAAGAAAACAGAACGAGAACAGAGAATGATCGGTGCGTACACAAAGGAACAATTATTTTATTTATTTATTTGAACACATAAATATTGGTACAAGGGGGCACCAAATATATATGCGCCACACAAAACAATGGTAATTTGAAGAGAAGGAGAAAAGAGAAAAAAAAGTAATGAACGTGGGGAATTATAAAAAAAAAGAGAGAGAACAATGGTGGGGGAAACGGAAAGGTACAATCAGAAGAGATCTTTCAGTTAAGGAAGATACAACCACTTTTTATGAATAAAGTAAAAGAAGGTTACAGCAGGATCGCCACTGGCTTCTATTCTGAGCCATATATGATAACGTCTCTAGCCACTGTGTTACACCGTCTTTCGGACCCCAACCAGGGAGTCGTGAAGGACCAACAGAAGCTAGCCCTTTCATACCACGACACCATGTCATATACTGACCACCTCTCCGCTTTTTCCAACCAGTCCCAGAGTCGGCAAATAATGCACGACGAGGAATTCTCTGGGACGACATTCGTAGAACATGTCCAAGCCACCGAAGTCGGTGTTTCAAGATGGTGACACCAATTTCATTATCGTCTCTGTGACCGAACACTCGATGCCGAACCTCTGCATTACTGACATGGTGTTGCCACTGGATGCCAGCAATCCTTCGGAGACAACGATGATCGAACACAGAGAGTCGTCTAACATCCTCAACTCGGAGAGGCCAGGTTTCACAAGCATAGAGCAAAACTGCTCTCACCGTCGCGTTGTAGATCCGACCTTTTACAGCCAGACTAACATCACGAAGGCGCCAAAGATGGCCCAGATTGGCATAAGCCGCTCTGGCTTTCACTATACGTGCATTGATCTCATCACTCACACCACCACCAGCACTTATGCAGCTACCTAGATACACGAACTGCTCGACTACTTCAATCTGCTCACCATCCAGAGTGAGTGCAGGATTAGAATCCTGCCAGTCTTGTAGAAGTACTTTACACTTCGAGGGTGCAAAACACATACCATACCTACGGACATTGATTGCCAACTGATTAAGTGCGGATTGCATAGCTTGGGCATTCTTGCACAGTAAGACAATATCATCCGCATACTCAAGGTCGAGAAGTCTTTCTCCAGGCAACAGATCCACACCACCATTACTTACATCCATCAGAGCTGTTTTCAGAATGTCATCGATGGCAAAGTTGAAGAGGAATGGTGAGATTGGGCAACCCTGCCTAACCCCACTGCTCGAATGGAATAGTGGAGAAAGGTGGTTGTATGCCCTCACTCTGCCTGAGGTGTTTGTGTATAGGGCTTTTAGGATGTTAATAAACTTCTCAGGCACACCCTTCTTCAATAGACAATCCCAGAGAACAGTCCTGTCCAACGAATCGAAGGCAGCCCTGATATCAAGAAACACTACGATTGTTGGCCTTTGATAAGTATGGCGGTGTTCTAACACTTGGCGGAGGGTGAAGATATGATCAATACATCCTCGACCAGAACGAAACCCAGCCTGTTCCTCGCGAGTCAATCCTTCTCGGGTTCTGAACAACCTACGAAGTATGACGGAAGCCAATAGCTTGGACGCAATCGGAAGTAGACTTATCCCCCGATAGTTGTTACAGGAACAACGTGAACCCTTTTTAAAGATAGGGACAACTATAGACTCATCCCATGACGTTGGTACACTCTCTAGTTCCCAGATCTTTGTAAACAACGTCGTCAGTCCCTTAGTCAGAAAGTCACCACCATCTTTAAAAAGAGCCGGAGGTAAGTCATCTGGGCCCGGTGATTTGTAACGTTTCAAGAGTTGGAGTTCCTTGCGGACTTCCGCCTCATTTGGTGGATCCGTCGTCACCGGCCATGGAGGGCAGGACAGTCTGACCGATGTTGCCGGAGCAGCAGACCAGTTGAACTGCCCTTCAAAGAATTCTTCCCATCGTCCAAGACGTCGATGGATGTTTGTGATTGGCGTTCCGTCATCCTCGCAGATTGTTTCGCTCACACCAGACTTCTTGCTGCCAGTGGCTCGGATGAGTTGGAAGAGCTTCCGGTAATTACCAGATGCAGCAGCTGCTTCCAACTCACTGGCACGCTCCGACCACTAGGCTTCTCGGTCCTTACGCAAGCTTTGCCCGATTTCATTACGTAACATCCTTCGTCTGTGGTCAAACTCACGGTCACCCGGAGTAGACCGACGGGCTTCAATCAGTTGTAAGGAACCAGAAGAAACCCAGTGCTTGTAAGCGGGACGTTTCGCAAACCCACAACTGACTAGACCCGCCATTTTCATGGCGTCATGCAATTGCAACCAATGCTCATCTATACTTTTCGGTGGAATGGTAGCTAGCCTAGAAGCTAGCTCGGTTCGGTACATACTAGCAACAGAAGTTGCAGCCAGCTTGCTAACATCAATCCTTTGGTGGCGGTCACTTCGTTGGCCACTGAAAAGTAAGGTAAGATTGGCGCAGACCAGAGCATGATCAGATTCCAAAGAGGTACTCCAAAAGGAGCGGCAGTCTTGTACACAACCACGCCAGCGGTAGCTGATCGCGATGTGATAAGTCTGAGTCCAGGCTTGAGATGCAGAAGGGGGACGCCAGGTGGCACATCGGCGATGACTGTGCCGAAAGTTAGTGCTAGCCAGAAACAGGTTGTGGTCTGTGCATAGTTGCAGTAGACGTTCCCCGTTATCTGTCCTGCGACCAACGAGTCCCCATCGGCCACCTAAACGACTCTCTTCTGTGCCTAGACGCCCGACCTGAGCATTCAAGTCTCCAGCTAGTACTACAATATCTGTCGAACGCACTTTCTGGAGAAGAACAGTTAGCTGGTGGTAGAACTCGTCCTTGATTGCATCCGGGTTGCAATCTGTCGGGGCATAGGCGGAGATGACGAAAAGACATCGTTTCTCACGCCTATTTCTTCTCACTTTGATGGAATTTTCTAATCTAACAGCACACAACCGACTGTTAATGGGGATCCAGTCGACTAGTGCTGCCTCAGCTCTTGCGCTTAGTGCGACACCAACGCCAGCAAGACCAGACGAAGATGCCACAGGGTCCCCGGATAAACGCACATAAAACAAGCTTTTTGAAGCGACAGATGGAGAGCGAACTTGTAGTACTTCACCAGTCTTGAATACGGGTCTCTGATAGACAACACACGTCAATATTAAGACTTTCCAAAGACATAGCCAGCCCTATCTGTTGTCCGACTTGCATAAGTGTGCGAACGTTGAAGGCAGCCAGTTTGAATGGTGTACGTGGTTTCAGAAAAACTGCTTCAGTACTCATATTCGGTGGTAACATACAATTTTCAACCAGGCAGTGACTCGAGTACGTTTAGATAAAGCTGAATTTTCACCATAGGTGAGCTGCTGTCTAGGTCGAAACGGATACATAATGTAGGAATAAGAGAGGGTGAATAAATGACGTGGTAGAGTAATAATAATAATAATAATAGTACGAGTTATTTCAATGTTAATCAGATAGAAAGGAATATTTTCCATAAGCAAATTGTTCATCACCATGGTTTTAGTGCATGGGCTGAGATACTGCCCGGGTGCCCAAACCGAAGCAGGTGGTTGTCTTAGGGGGCCACACCCCGAGCCTTTGACCCAAGGGTCTAGTCCACAAGGCAGTGGAGCATCGTGAGGAGATGCAGTCCCATGGTAGCCGGTGACCAAGAAATTGGTTCATACGCCATTTGTTCCCTCAGGATACTGGAGCCCATGTGCACCATAGAATTGGGATCCGGTTATAGCGCCGGACGTTCGCTTTTCGTCCTCTCATTTTCGTAAACAACACCCTCGCCACGAGAAGGCAGTGAGTAGGACTTCCCTGGCAGAGGCTGTAAACGCGTGGCCGTGTGAGAGTATTTCGAGAGGGAGGGCGAACCCTCCCCGCTCTCGGCCATACCAGGGCATTTGGGGGGAGCAATTAAGTCTCAGATAATTGATTGAAATTTGCAAATGAAGTATTTAGTGTATGTTTCTTAGATTTTATCAAGAGATTCTGTAACTTTGTTCAAAAATATTTGATTGTCCTCACCGTCTTCGTTCACTATACTAGTATTCTTATTACTTTATACGTTGTCACAGAAATGACAAGTTAAAACTGAGTCGTTTTGTAAAATACTCCCAATAAATGGAATTGGATTTTTTTAAGCCGTCCAGTGCTTCCAGGTTTTTCATGGTGGTCTAGCTTCAATTGTTTCATGATTTCAACCAGTGGAACTTCTAAAATCTCCACACAATCACTTCTGATAATCAAAATCAATCAGCAAGAAAGTGCCTTTTCAAAACTAGATACCAACTTATTAGCTACTTTCGACATGAACCGTGGGGCCACGTGATATTGAAATATTCCCTCACGAATTTTATTTATTACTACTAACAAATACAGCTACGTCGTGGGTACAGACATCTAGGGACCCATACACAGGGTTCCAGTTTTCTAGAATCACCCATTCGTCCAATCTCAATAATTTTTGACGCCTAATCGACAAAAGCCCAAAGGACCTTAAGAAAACTTTCTTAACCTAGTTACTTGTGTCCAGATTACGGAAAATACAGACGAATTTAAGTGAAATTATGGCAAGTCGTGAGAACGAGTTGCTCCAAAGCTAACGTTCCAACCAAATGATACAAAATAAAGGACAATGTTTTAACATACGCATTACATAGCAGCTAAGAAATACAAGTGTAAGTTTTAGGTGCATGCAACGAAAAAATTGATAACATACCAGTTTGATTATTAGTACCCCGAGATTCCGTGATGGCTATTCTAGACATAGTGGCTTCCACTGACCTCGAAGAAGGTGGTGTACTTTGACATGATGTCGACTGACGTTTAGCATTCGCAGCAGAGGCAGAATGTTGAACACTGGCATCACCAAGGCGATGGCCTTCTCCCAATTTGGAGAACTTTCGATCAACATTTTTTTCTTTGAAAAACTTGACTAATTTATCCATCTTATGTTACGTACGAAACCGTTAAAAATGTATGCTGAATAAACCCAACAACAGAAATTTATAGGAAGAGCTAAGAGGTCGTAAGTGTAACGCGGAATTCATCTCACGCTCCATAAGAAGTTCAGATGGTTCAAATGGTTGTGGACGGAATGAAACATGCTTTCTTTTAACGAGCTTCCGTGTCTAGTAGCAGTGGATCACCAATACCTCTATGCAGGATCCTAGATATATTAACTATAACAGAGTAAAAAGCAATTAATAAATCATAGTAAGGTACTGTCCTTTGTCCTAAAGAATAGGTCAAGTTTTCTCTTGAAGAACTTCTGGGAAGTCTCTTGAAATAGTTCAGCCGGCATCGAATTACAGCATTTGACAAACCTTAAGGAGTAGGAGTTGTGTCTATAGTCCTTTCTGCTGTGTTGTGTTTCCGATTTTGGGTGTTACACGTTAGGTTTGTGTTGGAGCTAAACTAAAGTAGCTGTTTAAGGGGATGATCATAAGTATTAAAGATACTGTAAGCCATTGGAAGGTCATCTCCAAGATGCCTATACTTTGATGAGTAAAGGTTTAGTGAACGAAAACGCTCTTCATAAGGCCTGAATTTGAGTCCCCGAACTGATTTCGTTGCTCGCCGTTGAATACGCTCCAGAGAGTCCTTATCATCTTGGAGTGATGGAGGAAATACTATGTTTACTAACTCTAAATGGAGACGAATGAAGCTATTGAAAATTATGTGTAAATTTCTTCCATCAAACTGGCCAAAAATACGTTTCAATGTTACCAGTGCAAGGTTTGCTCGAAAGGCATTTTTGTCACAGTTAGAGTAAGACTTCAAATCGTAGGGTACCAACACTCCTAAATCTTTTCAACTCGGAATATTTCTGAAGTTGTAAATGTATTCTGCAACATGTCTCAGATGAACTACTGTACACTTTGAAGTGTTATAGGTAAGTCCGTTTTAATCTGCCCAAACTTTAATCCCTGTCAGGTGCTCCTGAAGTGCCAGTATATTTTCTTGGTTGAGTATTTCTCTCCAAAGTTTCACGCCCTTCAGCGAAAAGTAATAAATCAGACAATATCTGTTGTGAAAGATAGTTTTTATAAATCAAGAAAAGAAGAATTCCTAGTACCAAACCATGGGGGACCCCATTAGGAAACTCTATAGACTGAGCGAAAGTGTATTTTTCAACAAAACGGTTACAATGGAATTAAAGAAGCCTTTATTTAATGGGCTTCCATATTTAATAGCAGCGGATCATTGATGGTTCCAGGTAGGAACCTAGGTGTATTTAACAATATATATAAGGATATTAATAGATTATAATGGGATAACTTAGATAGTGTGCAACATGTCAAGCTTTCTCTTAAAAGACGCCAAAGAAGTAGCTTAGGCTACTCCATCCGGCAGCGATTTTCAGAATTTCACTAGTAGTTAAGAGTGAAAAGTGTGACTACCGTTCATCTTTCTATGTTGTATCTAATTCCTGGGTGTTAATTTTAAGGTTTGTATTGGGACTGAGAGTAAGTATGTGTTTAACGGAATACTCGGGTGTGTTAAGGATTCTACAAGTCACTAGAAAGTCACCTCTGAGATGCTTTTAGTCTAATGGGTAATTATTCAGTGATTTTAGGAGGTTTACATAAGGTCCCTGAACTGATTTAATGGCTCTCCGTTGCATACATTCCAGTATTTTCTTATCTTTCTGGAGTGTTAGAGCAAATATTATTTTTCCATAATCTAAATGAGGTCGAATAAAACTTTTAAAGATTAAGTGTAAATTTTGACCGTCAGAATGGCCAAAAATGCACTTTAACGTTAACAGTGAAAGTTTTGCTAGAAAGTTATTTCGTCGCAGTAAACGTCAGACTTTAGGTCGTAGGGTACCAACTCTCCTAGATACTTTTCAACTTGTGATAGCTTTTAAAGGAGAGTTATCCAAGTTGTATGCGTAGTGTGCAACATGTCTCAGATGGACTACATTACACTTTTAGGAATGAAAATTAAGTCCGTTGTTGTCCACCCAACTTTGAAGTTGAGTCCTCGTGAAGTGCCAGCTTATCATCTTGGTTTCAAATTTTTCTCCAAATTTTCAAGCCTCCGATGAAAAACAAATAATCAGGTGATACTTGCCAAAGGTCACCTATATAGATAAAGAAAATAAGAGGTCGTAGTGTTAAATTTGGAGGGACGCCTGATAAAAGGCGAAAATCAATCTGACCCTAAAAATTTGATTATATTGATATGGAGTTACTAAATCAACTAAAGGTGACTTGATATTGAATAAAAAGCCATTTGAGAGAAGTACTCTGCAAAAGAATTGTATTTTCTATTAGCCTATGTCGGCTGTTAGGTTGAAAACTAAAGTAACCTAACAAATAAATCTGGGTCGTAAAGAAGGTTCTTCACTTCGTTTACTCGGTCGTCCAGCTAAAAAATGGCAGTTTTTCTAAGTTTTTGGTTGTCTAAGTACCTTTGGAAGCTCTTTTGAGTAAACTATAATTACGTAGAGTAGTCTAAATTTTTAACATCAGAATACAAGATCTCTCTAGAATGCTCACTCTTCAAGTGGAAACCCATAAGAGTTACACTTTTAACTCAATTATCAATTATCCATTAGGACCAATTTCAAGGAATGACGACAGTTACTTGGTTTATTATTAAGGACATACAGACAAAAGTGTCGAAATGGTGGAAATGTCAATACTGCAGATAAAATATTTGACCGGTTGCACTTCAAGTGTGCATCCATCCACTGGTCTCAGACGCTTCTGTAGCCGCAGTAGTTAACGAACAACATGGCAACCCGAGTTGATTGAATGATAGATATATAAACTGTTAATGACGTATAACATAAAACTGATTATATGTATGCAAGTGTGGAAATGCAATTAATTAACAAGGGATGCTTGTTATATGCATAAATAAGACTGTCATTCAACAAATGGAATGCAATATACAATATGATATTAAACTCTAGTCACCAAGACAGAATGAACAACTGGATAATTGATGAGTTACCACAAGTGCATGATTGTTATCAAACAACATAGGAAACCAAAATAAAAAGTGTTGTTACTAACGTTGAAAATCATGAAGACCGGATAGTGGCAGACAGTAAATGGAAAAGACATATGTGATAATTCGAAGTATTTGAATTATTGTACGAACCAGGTTCCCAGAAATAACGCAATTTAGATAGAAGAGAAACAAACATCGTATTGTAATTGGGATTCGAAATCAGGTAAACATCAAGTACAAAGGAATCATTAGTTCATAGAAACACAACAGTACATTTGATATGTTATTTTCAAACTGACTTCTTATCCAGTTTAACTAACGGATTGATGTGTGGAGGCTATGTAGTGGCTGCACTGTGTCAAGCTCACATAGGTTATTCTACCTTCTGGACAGACCAATCTATTCATTCTTATTAAGCCACATTTTGACCTTGCCAATTATTCACCTATTAACCTTGACTTTTTATACTGTCGTATGTGTGCTGATTACTTATCTGATTCATTATGTGTCTGTAACTTATTTTTTGATCTGACAACGAATACTTAGTCACGCTTTATTAAATCCAGTTGGCTAACTCGCCTTGTTCACTGCGCGTTGTTTTGTCTCTCTTCGCTTTGTTTCCCTGATTGTCAACGAGTGTACGAAATATACGTGGTCAAAATTCATTATCGTATTTGACTTATTTTTATTCCGTTAATCTCAAACGCGAATTAAGTCGATAGTTATGTACGAGGATTGGCAGCATGTATATATCGATAACCATCATTCATATGATCTAATTGGAGTCAAACCAATGGAATTTAAACAATATAAAAGTAACGATGAATAATATTATCGCCTTTTTTCTTCCTCCATTTTTAACATCTTCACGGCTTCCATTCAGAGGCTGCTAACACCTTGTAATAATTAATTTACTTGTTACACTTGACGGTTTTATCTAGAAACTGCATCTGAGTTAATGTCTTGCCCCAACAAATAATATATATTATACCTGTATTGTTCTCAGCTATTTTTAAATGTCATAAGGCAAACAGCCTTTAACTTTCCTTACTCCTGTGTAATTTTTAATTATGCAACCTGCCGGTCAATTGTGCACACAGGTTTCACTGAATATTTATCTCATTTTCACCCTTGTCTAAATCTACATGCCAATATTTTTTAGATTTTCTCGTACAGAGTTTATAAATCTTATGACATATCAATCGAAATTTTTATCTCTCTACAGTTATTCCTGTGTAAGTGCTTGTAATAATTTGATCATATCTTTAAACGGACATACTTTTCATGTAACGTACAACTACTTGAAAGTAAATGTTTGCTACTAATACACCAAAGGCCTACCTTCAAAGGTTTTCTGTGCGTCCTAGATTCCACTGCCAGCCACTGTCCATCTCTACTGATAATATAAAAACCTTTTATCAATTCATACAAGTTTCACATATTTCGTTATTTTACTTAGTATGTATGAATCTAAAGTTGGTAAGGTTCAGTTAATCACCCTCAACGATCCACATTAAAAATGAAAACATAAACAATGTATTACATTCTTGGTTTAGAGAAAAGTCCTGTTTGGACTTATATGGCAGTAAATTATAATAAGTGAATTCGGAATTTATGTCTGACAATCCTTCAGTGGACCATTATGTCTTGAATACATTATGTGGAGTCTAACCCATCTATATCTAACTAACTATGGTAGCGGTCAACTTACTTATAACTATCACTCTGCTGCAAAATGGTTCGTACAGTTTTTCAAGTCGAACAAATATATCTGTTTATTCATTACCACTAGTTATTTTGAATAAATAATCACATATGAATGGGAATATGATTGCTTATTTAGTATTGAAACAAATAATCATTAATTTTGATTATAAATGGTGAACGACAATGTAAGCAGCAAAAATAACCAAATGTCAGTCGGTAAAATTAAGTCAACAACTCCAAGGTACACTATTATACTTTATCTATATTACACTGTGGATTTGTATGAACCTATGCCAAAAGTCAAGTACAGTAATAAAGATGCTGTTTACGTTCCCATAAAAGTTTTTTAAACAAGTTGAAATATTCCACTTTTTATGTTGCTTAGCTACAAAGATAGAAAATGTAACTCAATT